TTTGCACTAAATCGCAGGCTTGCATTTAGTTAGCACTTGCACTAAATAAATCTCTCGTTCGTTGAGTCAAGTTCTTCTTGTTCAACACCCCGTTTCGAACCATTGAATTTCACTCGCACCTAGATTGTATCCGCAAATCACCCAATCTCCTCCTCGTTATTTCTACCCGTTCAAAATCACTTTTGCCTTTACTGCTTTTAAACTCCAATGCTTTGAAAATTTTCGCACCATTATCTTGGACTTTAGGGTGGAGCCCTTTACATAAACTATCAAATGCTCAGCCGTTTTCTCCTCTTCTGCACACGCATTACATACCATGTCTGTTCCTTCGTATTTGGCTTGGTACGTCTTGGTCCGCAATACTCCCGTTCTGCCCTCGAACAGTATAATTATGCCCGATAACTATCCTAGAACTGTTCTTTTGCAATTTCCTGCTTGAAAGTTCTGTAGGTCCCCAGTGATGATTTCGTAAGCACTCCAATCTTCCACATGTCCCTCTCTGTTTCCATTACCTTCTTGTTAACCGACGTTTCTTTTTGGGTGGGTATTCTGCTGCTGTTTAAATACTTTCGTGACAATTTTCGGGTTCTTTTTCTCCATTTAGTATCAACATTCTTCCTGTACAAATAGATGAAAACTTTTCTAGCCCAGCTATCCTTTTCCGTTTTTCTCAATGGCATTACATATTCTATCTTGCTGCAGGCTTCCCTGCACTCGATCTGCGTGCATCCCATTTCACCATGTACCCACTGAGTTGGGGTGTTCCCGTGTGCTCCCAAAGCATATCTGCCTATGTCGCGTTGTTTAATTTCCAATCTTACTTGAACTTCTGATTTCATGCACAAGACCGCATTGCCGAACGTCTAACTCGGGGCCATGACACCTTCCCAAATTCCTCTCACAATGCTATACCTGTTGATGTTCCATGGTGCCCTATTTTTCATTACAGCTGTATTCCTGTTGCTCTTAGTCATTCAGTATCATTCGTGCTTCCTTAGGTACTCAGCTACGTTATTTACTCATACGCCCAAATACTTGTATTTATCGACTATTTCTACCGTGAGAACCTGTGTGTTAGTCTCACTGATTTTGTTATATTTAAAATTCATTTTGTTTCTGCTGAACATCAAATTCAACCTAACTATCTCATTACCACAGGCGTCTATTGATCCCTGCATGTCTTCCTTGTTCTCTCAAACTATTATTACTGATTGATAAGCGTGGTTTAACGTCCCAAAACCACCATTTGGTTATGAGAGACGCCGTAGTGGAGGGCTCCGGAAATTTCGACCACCTGCGGTTCTTTAACGTGCACCTAAATCTGAGCACACGGGCCTACAACATTTCCGCCTTCATTGGAAATGCAATCGCCGCAGCCGGGATTCCAACCTGCGACCTTCGGGTCAGCAGCCGAGTACCTTAGCCACTAGACCACCGTGGCGGGGTAACTATTATTACTATATTACTATATAGCTATATTATTACTGTTATTACTATATCAGTCAGTACCAGCATATATCAATGCTGGTACTGACTGTTCAGTGTGTTGATATGTGGGGTTTAACGTTCCAAAACCACCATGTGATCATGCTAGACGTCGTAGTGGAGGGCTCCAGAAACTTTGACCACCTGTGTTCTTTACTCTGCGGCTAAACCTGAGCACGCAGGCCTACAACATTTCCGTCTCCATCGGAAATGCAGCAGCCGCAGCCGGAATTCGATCGCGTGACCAGCGTGTTAGCAGCCGAGTACCCTAGCCACTAACCACCATGGCGGGGTGACTGTTCAATGTGTTTTTCTTGCTTGGAAAAAGAGAGCCTGAAGCCGAGTCTAGTCCATGTCTTCTAGTCTATGTAGATAATCACGTTCATGAGTCGGATGGATTGACGGATACGGCTGTACACTTTTGATCGGGCGGTGGCTAGCACCACCGAGCCGTTATACTTAATGAACCAAAAACTAGAATTATTTTTTCCTTTAAATAGTGAGGTAGAAGATTTGTACTTTGCAGTGAAGAGTTTACTTTTCACTCGTGCCTTGACTTTAGCCACGAATCAGATAACCTCCCTCGAGTTAATTTTACCCTCTTTACGTCTATTTACACCTCCCTGTCCCTAAACCCCAGTGCAATTAAAGACTTTGCACCATCATCCTGAAATATATGGTGAAGCCCTTTACAGAACATTATCAAGTGTTTGGCAGTTTCTATTTCCTCTCCACACGCACTGCATACTGTGTCTACCCTTCGTATTTGGCCCGATATGTCTTGGTTCGTGATACTCCCGTCCTGGCCTAAGACAGTAGAGAACTACCCCGAGTAGTATCATAGATCCTTTCCGTGGCAATTTCCTGCTTAAAAGTTCGATAAATCTCTAGTGTGGACGTCTTAATCATGCCAATTCTCCACATATAAGTCTCATTTTCTTCACCTTTTTCTTAACCGATAATTTTTTTTTGGTTTGGTCCCCCTGCTGTTTTCTATGTATTTACAAGTCCATTTTCTGGTGCGCTTCCTCCATTTTGTGTCGAAATTCTTCAAGCACAAGTAGATGAATACCTTCCTAGCCCAACGCTCCTTCCCTATTTCTCTCAATTGCTTCTCAAATTTTATCTTGCTGCTAGCTTCCCGGCCTTCAAATGATGTCCATCCCATATCACCTTGTACTCCCTGATTTGGTGTATTCCCGTGAGCTCCTAAGGCAAGCCTACCTATTTCACGTTGCTTAATTTCTAATATCGCTTGAACTTCTGATCCCACGCACAAGACCACATTGCCGAACGTCAGACCAGGAACCATGACCAATTCTCATATTCCTCTCACAACATCATACCTATTGTAATTCCACAGTGCCCTGTTTTTCATTACCGCTGCATTCCATTTACCTTTAGTCGTCACTGTATGTTTCGTGCTCCCTCAGGTACTCGGCCCCATTGCTTATTCCTACGCCCAGATATTTGTGTTTATCTGTTATTTCTAGCGTGACCTCCTGTTTTCTAAGCTCACCACCCTCATTGTCATTAAAAATTATGACTGCTGATTCTTCCTTACTGAGTCTGAAATCCAACCTATCTCCCTCATTACCGCAGATTTCCACCAACCTCTGCAAAAATTTTCTTGTTGTCGGCCATTAGCACTATGTCATCTGCGTACATCAATGCTGGTGGTGCCTGTTCAATAAGTTTTTCTTTTTTGACGAAATAGAGGTTGAAGCCCAGTTCACTTTCCTCTATTTTGGCCTCTAGTCCTTGTAGGTACATTATCAATAATAAGGGTGACAGGAGACACCCCTGCCTGAGCCTTGGTTTTACCTCTGCCGGCTTGTATATCTGTTTTTCCCACTTTATATTCACCTTGTTACCTTTATAGATATCCTTTACAAGATTAGTGACTACATCTTCCACGCCTAGTGTGTCCAGTATTCCCCACAAGTCTTGTTGAACCACGCTATCGTACACTCCTTGGATATCCAAAAATGCTAGCCACAGGGTCCTGTGTTCCTTTCTGCTATTTCAATGCACTGCGTCGATGAGAACAGATTGTCTTCCAACCTGCAGTGTTTCCGAAACCCATTCTGCAGTTTCCCCAGCACCACCTCATCATTTATCCATGCCCGCCGTCTTTCCTTTATAATCTGCATCGCCAGCCTGTAGACCACTGATGTCACTGTTATAGGATGGTAGTTGTTTATGTCAGCTTTGTCCCCCTTTCCTTTATAGATCATGCTCATCCTGCTAAGTTTCCATCCATCAAGAACTTCTCCATAGAATATTATTTGTTCGCTGCCTCTCTCAAAGCCTGCTTAAACTTCGGGCCTAATGTCTTTATCAGCATAATTGGAATGCCATCTGGGCCTGTCGATGTACTACTAGGAACCCTTTTCTCAGCCCTTTCCCACTCTCGTTGTGAAAATGGAGCCATTGCGCCAATTCATTCTTCCTTGTCTATTGTGGTGCATAAAGCACTTCTTTGTTGAAATTTTTCTGTCACCCTTGTTTTTATATATTCAATAGCTTCGTCCCCTTCTAGCCTAGCACCTTGGGCTGTAGTTATAAACCTCTGCTTTACGCTCGTCTCATTTTTTAGGGAGTTTAGATGGTTTCGAAATTTCGCAGCTGCTTTTCTATCTTTTTGCTCGGTGGTTGCATGGCAACGGTGCGGCGAGTTTTCATGTACAATTATCATCATCATGTACAATTACCGCCATCTAAAGAACACTCCAAGAACTAAACTATATATACTACATACGTGGATGAAGTGCAGACCCACGCCTGAAGGAGCTTCGCGGCAATATACAAATTCATTCATCGCTCTTTCATTGAAGATTTTACTTTACTTACGCTTTTAAGATGTGATGGTGCGGCGCTTTCCATCGAACAGCGGGTGTTGTGCTCGGTGGTTGCATGGCAAAGGTGCGGCGAGTTTTTTGCCATGTCACAGCCCTTAGACTTTATCTGACAACTTCGCTGCTAAGAGAGTAGTATAATGAAGTTTGCACACAAACGCCACGCTTACAAGATTCATGCATTTTGTTCACGTGGCGCAAGATTCATGCATTGCGTTAATTAAACTCATAAACATGAGATACACCGTTATGAAGGGCGGTGAAAATGTCGACCTGGTGTTCTTTATCGCGCACTGCCATGGCATAGCAAACGAGCGTCTTACCACCATGGCAGAGATCATTGCAGTGGCGCTGAGTGCACCACAACGGCGTACAATAAATATGAAAGTTTCAATGTTTTGGTGGTGCACATGAAAGAATGCATGACCACTTCGCTACAACAAATAGACCTAGATTACTGGGGCGAAAGAACTATGCCAGTCATAGAGTAATTCAAACTTTCGCATTTTAATCGTGACACGCGAAATTAATTGCTACACCCTGCTTCGAGCCGAGCAGCACCGTGACGAAGAAAGTGCAACTGTGACAGAAAAATAAATTTGAAGAATCTGTCGTAATGCCTGCTGACATAGACCATCCGGCTGAATTTTTCGACAGGTGCGAGAGCCATGAACACTAAAGAACCGGACGAGGATGTCAAAACGGAGACCTCCGACTATGATTTCAACAACATGGCAAGTGTGTTCCAGGCTTGCAGAAAAGGTTGGTGATGAAACAGCATACTGCTTTTTTTATATACTGGCACTTGTAAAGGATCGGTAGACCTGGACATGTTCTGCAGCCGTACCTATATTTCAGCCAATGCCCAGGGCTGGAAGACCAAGGCATGATACCGCATATGAATACGTAGTTTCAGTAACACGGGCATCACTACAGTGCAGCTACTTGGTGACTTACATTGATGAACTTGACTCGGCAACCTGTTTTGTGAATACTTAGCCCTCTCGCTTATGCAGTCGCCTTCTTGTCTTCTGTAGATATCTGAAGGTATTGCTTATGCGACCGGTGGTTTGCCCACATGATTTAGTAAGCTTTAGTTATTATTTATTATTCATTTTCTTGATAGTTTATTTTTCTTGCCATCGATTGCCAAAGCAATACAAATACGTGTGGGATACAACATACAAAAATTCCGGAAAAACAAAATGTGTCATAATATAACGGAAACAAAACTAAATAAAACATATTCTCTACTTGATGAAACATGAAAATTGAAACGTTAATACTTATATGGCAGTGGTGGCTACACGATTTGAGCATCCGCTTCCAATGCAGGACGCACCGGTTACGATAGTAGCCGTCAATGTCCGCCTCAACTGATGCCGCTGTGCACCGAAACATCGCCGCGAGTATACCGGCTATAGCAGTGTTACAAATAAAGGAGCAAGAAGGGGTGGCGGGCACGAGCACGAACCACGGGGTGCTGGCTCACTCAGTTTTTCTGTTCACTGTCGATGCAGCCAGACGAGTGGGCCAGGATCTCTTTCTTCGTTTTTCACAAACGCCACGCTGGCTTGCCCAGAAACTTCACTGGGCTGAAGAAGCGTTTCACTGAAGAAGCGCTTCTAGTGAAGCGTTGAGTTGAGGATGCCTGGGAAGAAAGGGGTAAGGGTGAATGGCAATCTGATCAGTAGATGCGCCGTGCTTCACAAGCATTATTTTCAGTAGAAGGGATGGGAGTGCTCTTGGTATATCTCTACTCATCATCTTCGATAAGGGAAACTGTGCTGTCTTTTTTAAGGAAATCATCAAATGTAGATAAGCATTCACTGTTCTACATGCATTTCAGAAAAATTGGCTAAGATCAATCTATGCGACCCATCCTGAAAGCCTTTACAAGCCTCTAGTCTAATACTGAATATAGACTTAAAGCGTCGACGTCTGTATGTATGTTTCTGTAAACATCTAACTAGACTACCTTATAGATGGCGCATCTTGAATCGGAACTCGCTTCAGCTGTTCAGCTTACTACGGGTGATACGACCTCGACCAACACATTCATTGCACTCCTTCGTAAACTCAGACAATCTTGACCTCTGATTAGGTACTATCATCGTCACAGTTCTTCGAGCCCTAGGTTTCAGCTCTCTGGCTGGGGCAGTTCTTAGCATTGTACTTGAACGTTATATTTGTCAATGTTCTGTCATCAAAGGCTAACTTCCGAGTTAACTTTTGATGAACATGTTGTTGGAGCTATCCTGTCTCATTCTGCAACGGTTACTCGAGATTTTTTGTGACTTTATCAACTTGACACATCTTGAGACTCTCAGCAAGCGTCATGGCGACACGAAATGGCTGGTGTTATTCCTTAAATAAAATGACCTCGGCGAACGCAAAGCTGCTGTCTTCCTCTATCACATGCAAACTTCCAACGCAGGGGGGCAATTCAATTTCGTCATTATTGTCGACAGACGAATCTCCGAAATGATTGTTTCTAGTGAAAAAAAACCAACATCTATTAAGATGTTGGATTTTTTCTTCATTTTCTTCACGGCCACACTTCCTCACCTAATACATCATTTTCCAAACACAGCTAGTGACAAAATCTATGGGAATTTCCTTCTTCCTAATGAGAAGCTCGCCTGAAAATTATGTCCCTTACTCTGGCGATGCAGGTGTAGGCTATGCTTGTTCTCAGAACAAACAACTCCCGTACTTTGTAACAAACTGACTACAGCAGCCCAATTTTCTATGGATGCCACTCCCTCTCGATATCCTTTGTTTGAACCACACCCCCAAAGACCACGCGAACACTATTGCCAGCCCTTCACCTGTGAGGATAAGGACTAAATCAAAGAGCAGCAGTGACCGCGTATTGTGGCCCCGGGCATAGTCGCCTACTCCGTGCCATCGATCGCTTCATCGAGGTCCGGCATATCGTCAATACTGGGGCGAAAATCTGTGTCGTTTGTCCTACGTTTGCTGAGTGGTGCCATCCAGCCGACTCCTCTCCTCTCACCATGATCAGTGGATCCACCATCCGTAGTTACGGCCGAAAACGGGTAATGCTTGACACCGGCCTCAGATGTTCCTTTCATTTGATCTTAGTCGTAGCACACGCGCGCCAAGCTCGGTATGCCACACAAATACATTCTGAAGTCTTGAGTGAAGAATACGGGTAATGCTTGACACCGGCACCAGATGTTCCTTTCATTTGATCTTAGTCGTAGCACACGCGCGCCAAGCTCGATATGCCACACAAATACATTCTGAAGTCTCGAGGGAAGAATCTACGTCCAGGACGTTTCCTGTTCTGGTTCATCACTTCAGTTTCTCCAGACATCATCACCAATGGAATCACAGAATGTTTTCATCTCTAACTTGTAGGCGTCACTCGTGGCTTCAACTTTTCCTTCACCATGAACGGAACGCCCTGCTATGCCTGGAATTCGCACGTTTCTTCGTAGTACCTCTTTCACGAGCACTACAGAGCTAGGATTTGGCAGAACTGCTGAACATATTTAAAAAAATCACCATGGTACCTACAGGTGTATCATGTGCGCAACAGCAATGATAACGTAGCTCTTTCCCAACAAAAAGTACCCCTTCTTTTTGTCTTATTCTTTCCTACATAACTGCACACACGCTTTTGTGAGACACGACGCCATGCGACCCCCTTAACATCCCCCCTATGTGGTCCTCATTCGCACGCCTAAACACTTCCTCTTGTTGACACCTTCTCTTAAGACTTCCCCTCACTGCCATACTCACTGTGTGTATTTGCAGCACATTAGCTTGCTCATAGAAAGAAGGCTCTGAAGTGGGCTAGAACGTGCAAAAAATCTCAAACGCTGAGCACGAAATCGCTGCCCAAGAATGAGGTGATGAAATATATATTACGCAGACATCAACGTTTTCCTCTATAATGGCACACAATCTTGCTCAATAAGTGGGGACACGCAGTGGAAAATAAACCACCTCTTCAATCAGCATTTTGCCACTAAGGCACTGTGTACCGTGCCTCGGAATAAGTTGATGCACTTGTGAAGAGAGACCGCGGCGGAGGATAGTCGTTTTTCTTTTTTCGGAGAACACATAACTCAGGAGCGGGGGTTGGTTAGACGATCAGGTTTTCGTGGTAACGCCTCGTAAAGCAATTACATCTCCGTGTGCCTCCTAGCAGCACGTTCGATGAAGAAGAAGGTGCAATGAAACAATCTAGCGATGTTTTCTGGTGAAGTTGAATTGAACCGTGATCTTCATACTACTCGGTTGTGCAGGCACGGTGATGAAACAAGCACTTATGCGAATCATGCGATTGCGTCCCTATGACGGCAAAATTATAAAGAAGAATAAAGCGTACAGAAAGCTAAGCAGAAAATTACCGCAGCAGAAAATTACAAAACTTACCGCACTATATAAGGTTGTTGGATAGTAACTTTCTGGGCTTTGAAGCATCAACTGACACCATCACGAATTTCTTTTAGAACTTTGGAAAAGAAACCAACACTATTCATTCTAGGAAGAATACTTCTGCAATGAATACCAGTGTGATTATTACCAAAACTGCAGTTTACCCAACAGCTAGGAGCCACAAAGAAAGTTTACAGCAGTTATGGCTTTTTAATTTTTGAGCGCAAGGAAGCATGTTACCGAGATAAAGACAAAAGAAGACGGCGCTACTAGAAACTAAGAGAACGTGAGAGACCAATGCCAACTAGCCCAGCATTTCGTTTCTTTTACCAGTTATGGGTGAGGCCTGAAGTTATCAAGCTGAGGCGGTGAAGTGCCATTTTTGGGAGCAAGCTCTATTGCTTTGTCAATAACTATCGCACCGCCAAACGGGTTGAGACTTGCTGTAAATATCGAGAGTAGCAGGAGTAAAAAAAAAACAGTTTTCTCTTTCACAACCAATGATATCTCACCTATTTGACACGATGTTTATTAGTCAATAAGTACTTCCACACTACGTTGATTCTTTCGGTGTGGTCGGCTAAGGCATGGCATTACGAAAATATGCACAACATTCTGAATTGTTTCCCGACCAAAATAAAAAAATCTAGGTCTGAAAGCGTTAAAGCGAGGAGGAGTGATGTCTGTGTGAGGAAGGCGCCGAGCTTTGCGGTGGCTGGTCTTCGCGCCACCAGAGCGTAGCTGTCCCGCATTTTTTCTCCGCTTGCAAATGCCTACTATAGCAACATTTTTGAAGCCAGCTTCATTGTATGGGATTAGAAACTCGCTAGTTGGTTTCAAAGGATCTGAGAGGAAAGTGGCGTTGCGCTTCACGTAATGGTTTTTAAAATGTTGGTCAAAGCATTTACACCATTTGATACGACTGCAAGTCGAAGCCGGTCCTTCTGCGTGAAAAAGGGGCGTCCTACCACAGAGCTACTTCATTGTTCAAAACTGAGTAAAAAAGAACACTATGTAAATCACAAGTTGTAGCAGGGGTCTCCTTAAAGGGAACCTGCAACACTTTTTGAGCATCGCCAGAAAATGCAGCCGATCGGTAGTAGAGACATGCGAGCCAAATAATATAGCGCAGCACGCGGCTTGCAATTCATAATAAATTTGTTTATTCATAAAACGGCTTTCTCTTCTCTCGACAAATCACGCAATAAGCTTCAAAATCACTCGTAGTTAGCCTATTTATGAGCCATTGGCTGATTTGAATATGGCGCTGTCGGTTTTTACAGATATGCCATGGGAGGCCGTCACTTAACCACTCGTGCCCGCACGATCGCAGTTAAAAAGCCACGTATTCGAAGAAAAAAAAAGAGAAAAAGGGCTCATTATTACGAAGCCCACTTGACGCTTTTTTTTTTCTTGCTCCTCCCATTTCTCTCTGCTTCACTTCCAGCGCTTTCGTCAGGACGAGAGAAGACGGAATGCCAGTGCAGCGTGCGACAAATCTTTGCAACTCCGCTAGTACTGCATACATTGTTAAAAATTTCGCCGTGTTGAATTTGTGAGGCAATATGCTTTTCCTGTGAATTAATTTCATGGTAACTCAAAAAAGTGTTACGGGGCCCCTTTAACGCATGTTCTCGTACATTTGAGAAGTGCTCAGACAGCTATACGTAGGTTCGCGCGGTTGTAACACCTCAAGGAGTGGGCATTCTTAAAGGTGCTGCCCTTCCTTGAAGTTTGCGATGCCGCCACAGTGCCATTCTTAGACCGGCATGGCGAACTTGACGGCGCAGTCACCGTAGGGGCCGAGATGAATAAACAACCTACAGTCATGTCTATTCCTTATATGAATAAAATCTGGCCGTATATTTAGAGCACCCGTTGGTCTCCACTCAAGGAGCTACTCGCCTTGCTCTGGCTTAGAACTCAGTCACTTTGTTCATATTATGAGGATACGCGGAATATTATTATTATTATTATTATTATTATTATTATTATTATTATTATTATTATTATTATTACAAAAAAACATTGGAAGCTGTGGCACTCGTTCAGGGGAGTGCGTGAAATACTGAACCACTTGTTGTTTTCTTTTTCTTTTAAAGGTGAGAAGAAGAAAGATGACTTCGCCAAAAAGTTCACGGCCGCTTTTGATCCCGCCTGGAATCTGAAACCTACATTCCGACCCGATGCGGAAGCAGACTCTGCTATTTCCACTCTACATGATTACCACGAGAAGCTGAATTTCTTTCCGCTGGGCGATATCAACGTTGCTAAGGCAGATGACGAAGAAGCCAAGAATACCCCCACTTTTACCGTAAGCAAATTGTCTTAGTACATACTACGCGCCCCTCCACTGTAGTGTTCGGTATGCATGTATTAGAGCAATTAGCTGCTTTTTTAGACTACTTTAACAAGCATATGCTATCTTGCGAGGCTATCAAAATTTTCATGGTGCATTTCTCTCAAAGAAATACACTAGGAAAATAACTTCATCGGATGTCAAAGAGAAGTTAGCAGTTTTTGTGTGTACGAATACAACCGATCAGCGCGGCTCCTCAGAAACCAAAGGGAAATGACTACGCGCCTGAGCTCGCTGCTGGCTTTCATGAAGTCAGTATGGTGGAGCAACGTTTTCATAACCAGTACAGTTTCGCGGCTTCACTCGGGAGCTGGCACGCGAGGCTATCGCGTCAAACTACGGCGCTGCTGTTGCACTGTGCTTTTTTTTCTATAATTTATTTTTATTTGTTTCGTTTAAGTCACCTTTTTATGTATTACTAATTTTTTTGTTTATTAGTTTAGCTTGAAATTTTCAGAAAATGCCGAAAAAGGCAAAAACACAGTGTCTGCTGACCTTGCCCTCTCTTCGTGAGGTGCTTCGCGCAGTTCCAGCGAAGCAGTACATAGAAGTAAAGTAGCAAACTGGGCTAGTTGAAACATATCCGAATCAGCGTACAGAAAAGAAAAAAATAACACAAGAAAGTGCTCAACAAAGCACTTTCTAAGCGCTCTTCGGGGTATTTCTTTAAAGCCGAAATCAAAAAGACATCATGTCCTAACTCGTCACCAAATAAGTCCTGTCCTCGCGCTGTAGGTGAGTTTTTTTTTTTACGGCACGTTATCAGATATGAAGCGGCTCGTTTCCCATGCCTGGCGCTTGCCTCCACTTCCCAGTGACTGTTTCATCACCTGCACAGGGAACAAAAAGAGGGCGTTCAGGCTGTGAGTGTGGCCTTGAATCAGCAAAAAAAAAAGAGGGCCGTTATCCTATACCTGCATGCAGTGCCGCCCCGTTTGAAGGTTTTTATATGCATTCAATATTTGCATAGTTTTTTCCACCACACTTTCAGTCGTTAAACAGCGCTTGTGTCTTGCACTTTCTTGTGTTTTTCTTACATTGAATGTTTTTTTTATTTTTTTATAAATTACCGTGGCAAGAAGCAGGGTAGCAAGTGTGCGAAAGTTCAATAAAAAATACAGAAGGGGTGGGCTACTATCAGCACTGAAATTTGCAGCATAAAGCACTCTAAGCGCTTCACTGACTGTGCGAGCTGATTAATGTACTCCATGCCTTTGTCATGCGGGTGCATCTACACTGGGCAGACGTTACGTTGCCTCCACTTCAGTCTAAGGGAGCACGCTAGCTCTTTGAAAGGTACACCATAGACGCATTGTTGCTTTCTTCGCCGCCAGAGCGATTGCCCGGCTGAGCGAAGCAAAAGCGCCTTGGTGGTGAGACACAGAGACCAGCACACCCGTGAAATCTCCGAAGGGTATCAAATCATAAAAGATGAACACAGGTGCACACGCCGACCGCCAGTCGCTCTTACAGATGGTGATAATACGTACCTATAGTACCTATAGCGTACTTGATTACGTGCTTGGTAGAAGGTTTCAAGGTTTTTATATGCAGTCATGCTTGCATATATATGATATGTTTTTCACCAAATTTTCAGTCGTTAGACAGCACTTGTGACTTGCATGTTATTATGTGTTTCTGCACTTTTACGCCGATCGTGATGAGTAAAAAAATATTTAACAATATACATTCAGATAATAAATACACAAAAATATTACAGTATTCGGTAAAATACGATTTAAATATTCAAATAAAGCTGTTCCCTAGCGATAAATACAAAAGGCATTATCTGCTCTATCATCATACACTAAAATACTTACAAGTAGAGTGTAATATAAAAAAACCATAATGAAAGAATAATGATTCCAATCAATATACTACATGCATTGCCCATCTTCAGCACATGCACCCTTCAAGTCGGTTTAGATTATTACATTCGTAATTCGCTTACCAAAATGTGATGTTCTTAGTCTGCCTAGCGTATTCAATTAATTCAGCAATCTTGTTGAACACCAGCACAATTTGAATGTGAATTGACTGTACGCCATAGTAGGTCCAACACATTGGCTTTACCAATGCAACAGTACGCAGGCTATAAGTAAGAAATTTGCTTAGGTATCAGAAAGACTCTGAATGCTATTTTTAACTTTTTATAAAGTAACATAACAGCTGGTTGCCTATAGCACTGTGGGAATGGCAGAACAATATACAAACGAAAAAGAGACATCTGTGGTAACCGAGGTAGTTAGCAGACGGAGTGCACGTTTTGTAGAACAATATTATTTTAACTATTTGCTACGGTACACCCATTTGAGACTAGAATACAATACATGATGCGGGGGTGGTTAAACAAGCACTCTCCCTGGACGTATATGATGCAAGCATCGATGCAAACTTGTCAAACTTGATATCTTCACTAGAGGTTATCCATACACTCGGAGCAACAAAGGTTGCATTTAAAACATGCGCCGACAAATTGTGTTTCCTTTACCTTAGCAATACTTCCGCCACTCAATACTAAAGATATAGCAATATCTCCAGGTCTATTTTTCCGCCTAAAGAGCATAGTATAGCTTTTGTCGTATTTCATTCTAACTGGTTGGCTGTAAGTCTTTTAGTGCATCCAACCAGAAAATCGCAGTTGTTTCAATAACACAGATATCTAATCCAGAAAAAATTACATTGGTATCATCGCAATGCAGTGTGCTTCATACATTTGTAGCTACTTGATTATATGTCAAGCTTTATTGAATCAGAAGCTTTACTGAATTCACAACTATTCGCGCAGTATAAAGATTCTTTTAAAGTTTCAAGTACGTTGTGCTTGAAACAAAACAGTGCAGTGTGGGTTAATCTACCTGGTAGAACCGCACACTGTTCTTTACCAATTACATTTTCGTTTCACGTTGACGAATATACCCTCTTATGTATCAAGTGTTCCGCGAACACTTGTGTCCCGCGGGACTATCAACAACACCGCACCCATGCTCTCAACGGTGGGTTGCAGAAGCTATTCTCGGATGCGATGCATATTCCGTAGCCAGCTGAGACACACTAAGGGTAGCCATTTGCGACGCGTTGCGCATTCGTACTAGCTGAATTTCTCTTTACTCTGTCATGCCTGATTTGAGAATCCGTAAGACATTAGCAAGCCCAAACTGCAGTGCCACTAGTTTTTGCGCCGTCCGTTGGATCCACGTCGAAGAACAAGCGCCCATCGGGAGACAATGTGGAGCGGAGCTTCGACATTGAAGGCGGCCGCAGTGAGTGCGGGATGCGGGACTAAGAAGCTTCACTCCTAAACAGATGGAAAAAAAATGTTTCGTTGACAAGAGTCAAAGCAGTGCACTCTTTGTGCGCAAGATGGCTGGTGGGCATTCAACCTCCTGGGTCAACATCGAATGTTTGAACGATGCTAAACGAACACACCTTTCATATCACAAATACTTCAATGATCAGTATATAAGAGGTACTGCTAAAGATAACTAAGAGATGACGCGCGTGGAATTTATGTTCAAATCTTCAGGGCACTGCGGAAAATTGCATATTGAGTATCGGTGCATTTAGGGCAAAAGCCGTCATTGTCGTATGCTCACGTGCGCCCATCCATTCATCCGTCCATGCCCACCCATATTTGCTCTGGCACACGCTGGAAGCTTTGGCCTTTGTATCGTTACAGTGGAAACACAAAGCACGTATTTTGTGAGCAGGAAACTTTACGCACGAAGAGCACCCGTGTACCATGCACGCAAATGTGCACCCGTACAAAACGCACCGGCGTTTTTGGTTCTTCTTTGTGCCAGGTTTCTATATATTTTTTTAAACAGAGCACGCCTCCATCGAACCTCAGCAGTTGTTCTGTGTAGCAATATAATCGATGGGCGAAGCTCCCTAGAAATGGGACGAAAAAGACACTGTGCGTCTTTACTACCCGAGAGCATCTTTTGCTAAGGGCAGTGTCCGTTTCGCAGCGTCTACACTGCGCTTGTACGCATGCTCCCTGCGTAGAGGACGAGCATGCTCCCGCATGCTCGTCCTCTACGCAGATTTGCGCCCTCCTCCTCCCCTCCACTCCTCTGCGCGACAGATTTAGTGCACCAAATCATTGCATATATATCTCTCACCCTCTCTCTCTGAAAGGGTACACTGCTAGTCAGTATCACCGCGCAGTATGAAGTGGGCGTTTACTGCTTCCGTTATTCCTTCTCTCGGTGCAACGGCCACGCACGTTGCTGAAAACACAGGACGTCAAGCGTTGCAACCCGCGGTGACTGAACGCTGATTGATGATTGATATGTGAGGTTTAACGTCCCAAAACCACCTATGTATATGAGAGACGCCGTAGTGGGGGCTCCGGAAATTTAGACCAGCGGGGGTTCCTTAACGGGCGCCGAAATCTGAGCACACGGGCCTACAACATTTCCGCCTCCATCGTAAATGCAGCCGCCGCAACCGGGATTCGAACCCGTGACCTGTGGGTCAGTAGCCGAGCTCCTTAGCTTCTAGACCACCTCGGCGGGGCGGCTGAATGCTTCCACAAACTTCTTGCCTGGCAGGCGCTTCTCTAGCACACACGGTCGAGCGACGCCCGTTCTAGAGCTGTTCATCAGTCGTTGACACTCGCTTCATTGAACGTGGCATGGAACGTTTCCAACGAGTAGCAGTTACCTGTCTCAAGTGCTTCGTGCATCGTTTCATGCATATTCTTTCGGCATTGCACTTTCGCTTTCTCGATGGCAGAAAGCGACATCGGCAAGCAGAGCTTTACCCTGCACTATGGCTGGAATTCTCTGCAGAGATGAACGACACACCCCGCGCGATACTTTCGCATCAGCAGCATGGTTGATCATAGGAGGAGATGATCTGTAATCTTTTACGCCGCGTGCCTATGCGCCTCCCACGCGAAGAACGCTGCTGTGCTTGGTGGTGGTGGTGGAAAGTATATATTGAGAAAACACGGAGGGTTGCACAACAAATGTACACGGGTGTTCTCCTAGCTTCTAGAAGCCCACTGGAGATCATGTCTGCTCGGGCGCCGGCTGTCAAGGAGGGCTGAGCATCCTGGATATAGCATCTGAGCAGGAACTCTTCGCAAGTATCTCTTGTGGGTAGGGTGAAGGTAGATGAGAAACGTAGACGAGTACAAGGCATACTGTGATCATATGGTAGGGCTAAAGCCGTATCCCACAATGTGCAAAGTAGCGGTATCGGCCCTGCATAAGATACATGCGGCTGCAGGATCCAAGGAGGTGTTTGTTTGGAAGCGTGTCAGAAGTCGGTTGTCCGCTTTCGAAAGGTGCCGTGCAGGCGTCTGGGTAAAGACGGTGCGATGGTGAATAGCAATTGAGCATTTCGCAATGGCGGTGGTAAATAATAAAACAGACAGGTGGTCAGGAAATCCTGCCTATGGTGGGTCATCTTCCTTATATAACAAGATGGAGTCTCTAGTCGGGGACCCGATAAGTCGTAGCCGCTGTTCTAGCGCGCCGGACCCTTGAATTTTCGCATAAAGGTCCAGGCATTCAAGCAGAGCCATCTCTCAGTTGTTTGTGGTTGCATTAGGATCAGGGTTAACGGAGGATTGAGTTGGCATGTCACTTACTGTGTGGTGTCAGCCGCATCCGCACAATACTGGCAGGGGTCAGAAAAGGCTGAGTCAAAATGGTGAAGCACTGCCGGGCACAGTAGCTTGTTAGTGATTAGGTGGAGAATTATTTCGTTCGCCTTCCTGAGTACTTTTCAGGGCACATGAAAGCAGTGGTAGGTCCCGATAATGAGTCATTATCTCACTGAAAGTCAGAAGTGGAAGTCTTACTTCTGGATTACAGGGCTCAACAGTGGGCGCGGTTGTGTCGCGAGGAATTAATGCGTGGTTGGGAGCGTTCGCCGTCTCATCGCTTGGGCGTACTGCTTGCCAGGAGTTGATATCACTGAGCGGACGAGTGGGGCAACGTACCTATGGTCGAGATAAAAAAAAATTTTTGAGCTATGGATGAGTCCATTCCAGTTGAAAATTTCGCCAGACTCCTTTGGAGTCTGATATTACATTTGAAGCTGTCGGGTGAAAAAGCTATGGCCACCTCTTTAGCATAGGTACCATAAGGTGCGCGGAAAGACAGACAAAATCACTTGACCGTCTCGCTGGACAGCAGCGGCTGTATATCAAACCCCACAGTAAGGGGTGGGGATGTCTGGTTAAAATACGTAAAGCCGTATTTGCGCCGGAGAGCAAGTGCGCGCGCATCTCGATGGCCAGCGTGTGATTCAAGAGACATGCGCCCCAATGAGGAACGGGCCCTCATACACATGCAGTTCTCTGTGTGTGTCATTCATGTCCTATGTGTAGGCAATCTAGGAGTCATCTGCCTGACGTGGCGGGCGCCTGGTGGTTACATTGATTTGTTAGGTGTGCCTGCCAGAGATCCTGAATGTTTCAGAAGCTGGTTAAATTCAAAGCAGGTTATTTCTTCATACTTCACCATAAAAAAACATACAAAATAGGTGCCTATAACAGAGCGAACGCCGGCTACACTTGTTTAATAAGTTATTTAGAGGAGTGTTTCATCAAAGCAATATTGTTGAAATGAGTATGAGGTTCAGAAAATTGTTGTTTGGTTGCAGCAGTGAGGGTGCAGTGATAATGGCCGAATTACAATGCGTTATTTTTCTGTAATGAATAGCACGTAACATTTCTTTTTACAGAGCGCCGTGTGGTAACGCGTCCCTTCATTTGTTGATTGATTAGTGAGGTTTAACGCGCCAAAACCACCACATGATTATGATAGACGCCGTAGTTCAGAGCTCCGCAAATTTCGACCACCTTGTGTTCTTTAACGTGAGCCCAAATCTCAGCACACGGGCTCTCAGCACTTTCGCCTCAATTAAAAATCCATCCGCCACAGCAGGGATTCGATCCCTTGACCTGCGTGTCAGCAGCCGAGAACCTTATCCACTAGACTACCATGGTGCGGCACTATGACGATCGGCACCGGTAAGCTGAATGCATCGCAGCGTAGGAAACTGTTCTTAACCGAGCTGCATGATTGTGGTGCATAAAATGAGTTGTCCGGCAGCAGTAAGAAACTCTTCACCCAATTCATCATTTCTGTGCTACGCAAACTTTCCTTTTATTTCTTGGCTGAGCCCATACCTTCAGTTGCTTGCATTCGTTGTACAACCTTTGCGTCAACCTTTTGTTGTAGATATTTCCTGCACGCTTCGTCGGACGGGCAGTCGATACCGGTTACGGACCGCATGACAGCGTTATACAAGCGGGTTTCAAAGCAATCTCGACTATTCTGCCAAAGTCATGCTGTGGAGATGATGGCGCAAAGATAACTACGTTCGAAACCACAACGATGAAGGTGAGCGTGCTTCTAATGTTTATCTCAATTCTAACTAATTCTAACTAAAAATGTGATACTGAATACGTACCCGCAAGCACATTTTCTGAACTTCTGAACACAGAAACGCAATAGGGACAGAAGAATTACAATTTGTGTGAGTATATTCGATAAGCCTTGTGTTAGCGACAACTTTATTTTCTGTCAAATGCCATCGGCGTGTAGTATAACGTAGTTGTTCACTGGCCGGAGAAAAGTTCCATATATACTAACAGCGCCATGTTATCCTACACCGTAAATATTCTTAGAAGTCATTGATGCTGATTGACGTAGCAGGACAACTTTATTCACATAACTACGCACAGAATGCCGCAGTTAAGAGCCGTCTTTTGCCGAGTCGGAAATAGTTCTGTTAAATTCATGGACGCAAGACCACATCTTAATTCCGTCTGCTATGTAGTGCTGCTTTAAATATGCCTGAAAAGAAAAGGCATGGAGAAATGTTTGCATTTCACTGATTAGACTACTGCGCATAGTCGAATTGCTAGAACGAAATTGCGATCGCAGGAGCAAGCTAGGCCGGGCCTAGTTGCATATTAACAGAGGCAAACTGTTAGAAAGCCAAGTACAGTCTGAAACACTCACAAAAATATTCGAGAGCTACGAAAGTTTCATTGTTTTAACGGACATTTGCTATAAGAGGGTTCAACGCAGTAACGAACGAAGCCTGTAGTGAGAAAACTTAATAATAAATAAAATAAGCAAATGTGCATCACTGAGAAAAATAGCAGAGCCGAAATTTCTCTCACAAGCTTGAAAAAATTAATGGCGTCATGACACCGCCCCAAGCCACATAGAGCCATTTTATGGCAATTGCTGAAATTTCGAACAATATATCTGTTGAATGTAAGCAATTTTAAACCAATGCTTTCATTAAACGCTCCAAAAAATTCAGAAGTCACAGCGTCTGGAACTTCAGAACTGGCCTTCTCGGTTCACTTTTATTTCTGATTTTTATAAATGACCTTCCCAGCAATAATAGGTCCCAAGGTCAGTCTGTACGCCGACGACTGTGTACTTTACCAGGTAATTAGTTCTCCTAATGATCATGCCATACTTTAGGATTTTTTCTCGCAGTTTTGTTTTTGGTGCTCTGACAGGCAGATGCGCATAAATTTCCAAAAACAGTAGTCTTGTCCTTTACTAACAGCCATTCACCATCGCGATATGCATACTCCTTCAACAACATCGCAGTTCCCGAGCGGACACGTACAAATACCTCGGCGTTTTGCTCACACACAACATGCAATGGTCGCATCACATAGACTACATTACGTCTACAGCAATAAAAAGTTAGGTTACTTAAGACGAACATCATCTAAATCGCAAAATCGACCAAAATTCTAATGTACAAAACACTCATCCGCCCTATATTAGAGTACGCATCGTGTGTGGAATCCGTACAAAGTGGGTGACGTGAATAAAATGTAATCTGTCCAGAGGAAGTCTGTCGCTTCATTTTTCATCGCTATGACCATGATTTTTCGCCCTCATCTGCAATAAAATCTGCGAGTTTATCTCCATTCTGCGCTAGGCGTGATATTGATTCTTTGAAACTTTTGCACTCTAATGTTCACTCATCATGCCGGCTTTCTAATGATAATTACATCGTGTATGCTAATGCTCTGCCAACTAGACGTGGTCACAATCTTAACATAAGGCCATTCTTCGCGCGTACTAATATGATCAATTACAGTTTCTTTCCGAAAATTATTGTCTACTGGAACGAACTACCAGGTTCGGCTCGTGAAATGAATATGTCAGATTTTTTGGAGGCACTGGAATGACATTGTTGTCTTTTTTGTACCCGGTTGTGCTTAGAATGTGGCGATAGTTGTTTTGATTTCTTCTGATGAAGAACTTGTTTTGATGTTACTCATATTCTTTCCTACTGTATGTACCCCACTCCTGCAATAGCCCTACATTGGGCTGCAGTATGTGAAAATAAATGAAAAATAAACAAAATACATTGGCTATGCGGGGCTAGTGTTTGTCCCGTGAAACCGTACAAATAGTCAAGCATGTCTGAAGAATTGACAGCTTTGTCGTTCTTATCAATGATGTCTGTTGTATATTCCATCTGATCTACCACTACTCCAATTCTTGCGGATTTCACAAGTTGGCTGTGCCAGGAGGCAAATTGACATCCGGTGCAGCATACCATGAACACGAATGGGTGCTGAGGAGTGTTTGGGTTGTGGAAGAGGACTCAGAACCGTGTCAATAGAAGAACGCAACTCAAACATAAACAAAACGACTGTTTGTTGTTATAGCAGCAGCAGCGGGAGGAGCATGCTAGAGCTGCATGCGCTCAAACGGTTAGAAAAACGAAAGTTGAAATGGAGCTATAAGGTTTGCTTACATAGCCACCAGTGCTGAAGTTAGCCTCCAGTGAAACTGCAGTGGTGCTGTTCCTTATCGAAAATGTGTACCAGCAAGTGCTCGCGTCATGCCGGGCAAACCAGGGACGAAACGGAGGCGGCGCAGGTTTGCGTGCAATGTCGCCACGCCACACCACACCCCTCCCTGCAGAAATCTGGGATGCGTACCAGACGATCAGAGCGTGTGGTGAAAGCAGTGACGCTGCCCGGTTCGTTCCTAGAATTTATGCGGCCTTGAGTCGGCCTTGAGTCGGCCTTGTGTCGGCCAATGGAGATGCCGACGTCATTCCCGTTCAGGTTAAAAGAAGTTTTTGTCATCATGGTGAACAACGTAGGGTTCTCTGTAAGTTGACTACGAAAGCCGGTGGACGGTGCCGTCCCGGAAGAAAGCGTGCGTGCACGATGGTTGCTTATTGAACACAAGATGAGTAGGCTTGCTGTGATGGGCTACAGGTGGCGGTCGTTAAGCGGAGATGGTGCTCGGTGCCAGTTGACGAAGTCGGTGGGGTCTGACGTCGTATTGCTGGACGGCAAAGCTGCGAGGAATGTGAGGAATCTGGGAGACGGAGTGGTTCTCTGTTGACGAGCACTGATGGCATAGCGTGGATTTCAGCTTAAGGTAGCACGAACACCAATATTTACAGCTGGATTGACCTCGAGTGATTTATGGTAAACGTGATGCATAATCGCTGCCTTCACCTGTCTGTGGAAACGGTCAATCATATAGTTGGAGCAGGTGTGGTAACTGGCGGCCCTCAAGTGTTCACAACCAGTAGGCAGTCTAAAGAACCTCAAGAGATGGGACATCAACTGTCATTCTGGGTCACTTGTCACACTGGGGGGGGGGGGGGGGGTGGCGCCGAAATGAGCAATCCAGCCAGTGAAAAAAGCCAAGCCGACATCTTCCGCAACGATTTCCTTGAAGGGCCATGCCTCAGGCCGTAGAAGTTCACATTCTCAAACGACCCTTAGACTGACCTGTAGATTTTCTCTACACTTATAAAGGTACAAAAATGGTATTGGAGAAAAAGAAGGAGAACACAACTTCAAAAATGCTGTCCTAATTGGTTAAGTGGACGGAATAAAGGTTTGAATCTCATGGGGTAAACTCGAGGAAAGGATTACGTTGGTTTGTGAATACGGGTCCGAGTGTACCGGTCGATGGCGGTGAGCCTGTAGCGTGAGGGTAAAGATGGGGTAAAGGGTCTCATGATGTTTAGGTGAACGGGCTCGAACTGACCAGAGGGCTGAGGGAGTGTGCCGAGAGGGGACATGACGTGCCTAGTGAATTTGGGGTGAGTCCATGAATGCGGTCAGCCCACTGGTGGAGGGGGGTTCGATCAACATGAAACAAGATTCACGCGTCTCTGCTCCTGAATAATTGAACACACTCTAAATAGTTACACTATTGGGGGACCATTAAGTTTCGCCTTCAAGAGTTGAACGTAATAGCGAAATCTGGCCTCTAGTGCACCCTTCAACTGCTAAGTACATATTTATTCATATGTTATGTTACATATTCACTCAGCACACAGTAGATTGGACTAGCACGCGCTAGTATCGCCAAATGGGCTTGATTTAGTCGTGACACCTGTCGCAGAAAATGGGTTAAAGGGGACCAGAAAAGATTTTTCAAGTAACCATAGAATTAATTCACTAGATAAGCTAATTGTCTCACAAATCCAAACGCTGCGAAAATTTTAGGAATTCGTCTAGTGCGAGTGGACTAAAGGTTTGTAGCATACTGCAGTTGCTTTATTTCTTCTCTCGTCCCGACAAAAGCGCTGGAGGCTAAGCAGAGAGCGGTGGTGGGGCAAAAAAACTACTACGCCGCGTGACTTTAAGCACTTTATTTCTTGGGAATGCACGGCTTTTTTCAGTGCGATCGCGCACGCACGCGTGAACAAGTAGTGGCCTCGCGCGGCTATCTCGGTAACTTCATTTTTTTTCAGTCACAGACGCACAGACGTTTTTTCGCTCACAACCAATGGCGCCAATGCAGGCGGCAGGTTTTCTGCGACATTAGCTCTTCAGCGCTATCACGTTAGAAAATGCGAGGGCCGTAGAATCCGACGTGGCCTGCATACGTTGGCGTGCCCCGGCGGCCACGCGGCACAGTGCGGGGGCACGGATGGAGGAATGGACAGATCGAAGTGGGCATGCGATAATAAAGGCTCTCACCTGAATGCGAAACCCCACCAGCGATATTCGAACATCTTTTTGGTCGTTTGTGGAGCGAGTTATGTAGGACCTCCGTATAAAGGTTGAGGACGGCGGAATACGAACGAGATCAGCGTAATGCAAATATCGCAAGAATTTAATTAGAATAATGATTACGAAACCGAAAAGTTAATGAGCTTGTTAATGAGCTTGTTAATGTTAATGAAAAGTTAATGAGCGTTGCCGCCTGCGTTGGCACGGTGATCTGGAACAGAAAAGATCATGTCACTTATTGTTAGCTTGCTTAGGTGTGATGTTCGTTATTGATTGTAGCTGTTGGTGGCATCGCTGCGATGCGGAATCCTGAAGTGGACGTAAGAAGCGTAGCTTATTGATATTTTGTTTATTGTCTTACTGATAGAAAAATTTTCCGTGATTTCTTAATTTTTTGCATACTACGCATTACTGAACAAATCAACTTCGAAAACTCCTTGACACGATACGACAGACAATTTCGCCCAGGTCATAGGTTTCGGTCGTTTGATGTTTGCCGTTATCAGTCTGGGGTACGCTGAATTTGCACTCACTGGAACCCTTTTGAAGTAATGGTGGCCTTCAGAGAAAAATCACCGCTTGCATTTCAAACAAAATATTTCATGCAAGAAATGGCAGGCAACTGCAAATCTGCCGCGTGCTGCTCCGCACAAATGACGAATGAAAACAACGTACTGTGCTGAGAGTCCCATTTGTTATTACTTTTTGTTGACGCAACGCGTTACTTGTGTCGACTATGCATACCCTCTCAGCGAAATCTGGGTCAACTTCTACAAATACAGCCGCTGCAACGAATATATATATTGTCATTCGCAAGGCTTACAGTTTCAACGCAAAGTTTGCGTACAAGCCCAAAACATACAAACTTGCGCTCTCCCGAGATAAGCGTGGTAGCGCGGTAACCCCTCTGAAGTGCGAAGTGCCGGTCTCGCTCTCCAAAAAATTTTCTTGAGATGTCTTTATAGCTTTTACAAATGCATACATACATACATACATACATACATTCATACATACATACATACATACATACATACATACATACATACATACATACATACATACATACATACATACATACATACATACATACATACATACATACATACATACATACATACATAATGTTATGGGGCAATGTCCAAAATCAACAGTCATATAAGCGCCGAGAAAGACGACGTGATTTTAATAAAGCGCGTACTCTTGTTCTCCGTCCTGGCTTGCGCGTTGGCGCTGTTGAAATTTATCTGAAAACGCATAGTTTCACGTTTGCCTTCACGCAACAATATAATGACATGAAGGTGATGGCGGCAACCCGCCGAGAGGTTCTGTATACTTCATATTGCCATAAAATGTCAGGAGTTCTTCGGCGGAACAGATAATAGCAGGCTCAACAAGCAGCGATCTTCATTTCAGAAGTAGCAATGTCCAGTTGTCGCAACACTTCTTACTTCTGAAATTTACGAGTTAATTTTTGAAAAGCAGCTTCACTCGGTGATTATGTGATGCAGCTATAGCGACACAAGCAAGGATTTTTAAAGACAAATTCTTTCTTGTGGACCTTCGACGCAAACATTTTGATCTGTCTATCTATCTGTCTGTACGTTTGTCTGTTTGTCCACTCTTACCGGCATCGGGTACTTGAAACGATCGACCCCATCCGCAGCGACCACTAATGTCGCCCAAGGCTGAGCGTTCATGCTTGTGCAATTGTAAATTAAAAACAATTATTGCACATGTCGGGGCACCATAACAACACGCATATATTCTGCATATGCATCTCTTATTAGAAAACGCAATACACTAGTAATTTTAAGGACCGTAGTGCTTATCACGCTGCGCTTACCATGCAACGCTTGCATGGCAGAGGAGGTGTTTACAACGCTTTGCTAAGACGAGATCGTGGTGGCACCTACCCGTCGCCTCACGTTCAACACCTTGTCACTTCTGAGACGGGCGCGCACGGTCACGCGCTTTGTTTTCCAAAAGGAACTGCCAGGTGATGCTCATGGCTCACGTGCGACATGACTTGATGCGCTCGTGAGCCTCCGCTGCCCGCTCGAGGCACTCTAACGCAGCACCTCCGGAATACCATTCACCAATTTTCTTGCGCAGAACATCAAATAAATGTTTTGTTCACTCTCTCCACACGCAAGACTATCGTCTTTCGACGACATTTGCAGATTACATGCAGTAACGGGCCAATTTTTTCGACAGCATTCTCACTGCCAAAGATTAAAACATGCATGGCCACATGCTAGATTTGACTACAAATGACCTAGCATGTGGTGGTGGTGCTGGTTCGATGCCAGCAGTTGCATTTCACTGGTGCTTATCATTTCTTTCTTCACTCGCTGTTATGAAGGAAGCAAAACATCCCATTGTATTTCGTGATTGTGCTACTGGACAGCGGCACACAAAAGCCTGTTTTAGCGGCTAAAGAGCACATGTGAATTAATCAAGAACGTGTGTGCAGCACCGTTCCCAGGTTATAGCTTATGCACGCCTATCGGCCCTTCTAAACCAATATGGCCACCAGGATGCGTGAAACCTTCCGCCTGGATAATAAAGTGGTAAAAACAGTTATCCAAGCCCTCAGAGGTAAAACGGGGGCTTAAGCAGGGGTGTCCTTTGTCACCCACATTAATCATGATGTACCTACAAGGATTAGAGGCCAACTTAGAGGGAAGTGGATTTGGCTTCAACCGCTCTTTCGTCAAACAAGCAAAACTCATTCATCAGGCACTACCAGCAACAATGTACGCTGATGATATAGTGCTAATGGCTGACAACAAGAAAGATTTGCAGGGATTAATGGACATTTGCGGTAATCAGGGAGATAGGTTAGATTCCAGATTCAGTAAGAAAAAATCAGCAGTCATGATTTTTAATGATAATGAAAGTAGTGAGCTTAGGATACAAGAGGTCACGCTAAAGATAACAGATAAATACAAATATCTTGGCGTATGGATAAGCCATGGAACCGAGTACCTAAGGGAACACGAAATATACGTAACGACTAAAGATAACAGGAAAGCAGAAGTGATGAAAAATAGGGCACTTTGGAATTGAAATAGGTATGATTTTGCGAGAGGAATATGAAAAGAGGTCATGGTTCCTGGTCTGACGTTCGGCAATGCAGTCTTGTGCGTGAGATCAGTTGTTCAGGCAAGATTAGAAATCAAGCAACGTGGAATATGTAGGCTATCCTTAGGAGCTCATGGGAATACACCAAATCAGGGAGTACAAGTGATATGAGATGAACATCATTTGAGGCCAGGGAAGCTAGCAGCAAGATAAAATTTGAAAAGCGATTGAGAGAAATGGTGGAGGAGCGTTGGGCTAGGAAGGTTTTCAGCTACCTGTACATGAAGAATGTCGATACGAAATGAAGGAAGCGAACCAGAAAATAATGGGTAAATACTTGGAAAACAGCAGAGGGCCCAACCAAAAAAAAGCTATATGTTAAAAAAAGGTGAAGAAAACGGAGACTGACATGTGGACAATTGGCACAATTAAGAAGAAATTGTGAAGGAGAGGATCTATGATAATACCAGGGGTAGTTCTCACTGTTTGAGGCCAGGGCAGGAGTATTTCGAACCAAGACTTATCGGGCCAAATACACAGGGGTAGACATGGTATGCAGTGCATGCGGAGAGGAAAAACTGCCAAACACTTGATAATGTTAAGTAAATGGCTTCACTCTATAGTTCAGGATGGTGGCGCAGAGTTTTTCAAAGCACTGGTGTTCAGGGACAGAAAGGGCAAAAATAGACTTTTAGCGGGTAGAAATAACTAGAAGGAGTTTATCTAATTGGTGGCTAAAGTAAAAGCACTAGTGAAAATAAACCATTCACTGCAAAGTACCAGTCCTATTCTTCACTATTTAACGAAAAAAAGATAGATCTAGTTGTTGGTTCATTAGGTATTACGGCTAGGTGGCGTTAGCCGTCGCCCGCTCTAAAGGGTACAGCCACATCAATCCACCATCCATCCATCCATCCAGCGGAAACAGAGGCTTTATCTACATCAAGGCACCCTATATTGAAATACGTCCTACTGACATCTTCATTGGCGAAATGGACGTGGCAGATCTTTTGGTCACTGTCCCAGTGGTCGAGTGGCACGACCCTGTTGTACAAGAGTCAGCTGCTTTTCCGGATTCTCGCATGATCATAGACAGATTGTGGGTAGTTGCAAGGACTGGTGCGTTACGTCACTTGCAGAGGACATGCTTGGCATCGCGTCCGCTCGTGATGTCGTTCTTCGTAACTCGTGAAGAAGTGGTTGGTCTCTCAGACAAACTGTTGAGGCCCTACGTCTAATTCACTGCCCCGGAAGATAGTTGGCGTCTTCCTCTAGGTGTCGGCTTGCTTTCTTGATTTGGTGCGCCTGGTTGTGAGTAAGCGTGAGCCCGCACTAGATGTGATGTAGTTGTCACTATTATGCAAGCAAATTGCAAGCGAGAAAAAAGTGTTTTGACAGGCGAACCTTCTCGGGGATAGAACCAAGCCTCCCAATAATAGAACAAGTGCTCCCAAGACAGCCACGGCTTCACTGAGTTTTATTATACAACCTTAAAGGCTAGCGTTGTAGCTAGTCTTGCCAAATGAGTGTGCCCATCAAAACAGCCTCAAAAAATGGTCTCAAAAATTTGAAAAAGTAGGGCTCGGCTGGCGCAAACTTGTGATATGTTCTTGTGCACGAAGCAGAATCACGCGAAAATAAAGTAAATGTGTTAATAGCGTATTTTCGGAATGCTGCTGGTAAAATGATGAGTTCCGAAAAATTGTTTTAATAAAGAGGACGATCTCATTTTCCTTTGCGAATCAAGTTACGTAGCATTGTAGTGCAGCTAGCTGTCCAAATGTAATGAACAGTAATGGGAAACAGACTGAAAGGCTTCATGTACCGCTTATTGTTTTTTTTTCAGGCCTTGCAAGTGACTGACGAAAAGATTATTGATGTTGGAGGAACAGAAACATCTAAACTTGGGAAGGTAAGCACATCACGACATTCAGCTGATAATAAATGAAAATATACTTATTCGATAAGTTTGCACTACAGCTTTATTTAGCTTACTAATCCGCACCAATCACAACGAAGCTTATTCAACTTTGTATCTCTGATAATAAATGAAATTGTAATAAAATACTCTTATAAATAGTTTTGTACAATGAATAGGGTGAAAACAGCCCTGCCAGCAAAAGACGAGGACGAGAACCAGTTGTTGACACTCGTGATTGATTTGATTCAGACCACTGATCGCATGATTTGTGTTCGCTCTTTAAAAAGCCACTCATGAAACCCCTTAAGATATATTAGTTAGAACACGGAAGTTTTGTGCCCTATGAAGAGCATTCGGCCACAAAAGTTTTTTCGGTCTGTTCATTAAAAGCTGAGAAATTAGTTTTTTTAGGAGCGAAGCTCCTTAGGGCGTGAGTCTGACCATCCTCCGTCGTTGTCGTACGTAGCCACCGGGAAGCGAGATGGGAGATGACAGTACTTGGAGTGTTCACTAGATGGTCGCACGGACGGACAGACAGACTAGCAGACGGAGCGACGGATGGACGGACAAGCAGAGCGGGTATATGCCATAGGGAATGTGAGGTGCGAGATGGCGATACTTGGGAGTGTTCACTACATGAACGCACCGAAAGACGGACAGACAGACTAGAATACGAACTGACAGATGGATGGACGCGCGCACGTACGGACGCACAGACGGATGGACGCATGGATGGATGCACGGATGGTCACGTGGACGGACGGAAGCACGAATGGGCTGACGGATGCTTCGCCCCACTCATCATCATTCACTCCATGGTTATACTGTGATTTATTCAAGTGGCGTGAAATGAGGATGAGAGGAGGCTAGCTCGAAACCCTTCTTACTCACCCACTTTGCCTTCTCAAGTCAACCTCTTCCCTACCCTCTCGGGCATCCGACCAAGTTGTCCGCGGCGCATGACGTGCCGAACAAGCCCTACCATCGAGCAGGCGAGTGGCCTTGTTTTGTTGACCAGCATTACTTTGTGGACCACTGCCTGTGCCGGAAGGCTGGTTTGGTAACGCTGGTTAGGCGCGGCATGAATGTTCGAAGGAGCAGGAGCATTTACTTTTTTTCCAAGGCAGGCATCTGCTTGATGCTCAAACAGCGGGAACATGAACGGTAAGAAACAAAGGTGCACTAGCCCCGCATATTGTTGCGATTTACGAAAAAAATGAAAAGAGGCACACAATCACTTATTGTTTCTCATTATTATCTTAAGTTTTAATAATCTCTTGAGGCAACAATTTATATAAACTACACATGCCGTGTACGTCACTGCACTGCCGTGTACATAGGGCTCTTCATAAGTGCACATCATGCCCTCCTTCTTTAGGTGTGCGCCCGCGAAAGGAAGAGGGAGCAGCGTTCATCATAAATTTGATCCATTTCCGTGGCGTTTAGCGTTGAAAATTTGGGAAGACATGATAGTGAACATCTCGTGTACACTTTGCGCTTCTCAGCTCAAAATTAGCAAACCTGCTGAGTGTCCCTTTAATAAACGTGGAACGAACTTATTGCTAAACGCAGACTACTATCAAGTGGTGGAGAGTGCTGGTTCTCTTTTATAACCTCGAACTCTACAGCCGAACTCTACCTTTACCACCCACAATGCCTGACAACGTTGCAGTAGAGCCTAATGCTACTACACACCCAGATCTCTGCTGTCCCGATATTCCGAGGAAGCGTGACCCAGTTCTGTTAACTACACTGAGGAACAGGGCGTCAAGAACTGGCTCGATTCAAATAAAATAGTGGGAACAACTAGCCGGATGGTAACAATAAACTTGGCCGCGTCCACTTCTACCTTACGGGAGTCGTGGAGCTTGTTTAAAAGCCACGAGGCTGAATTGACCTCCCTGGCCTCTTCCAATACGATCGTCGTAAATGTATTTGGCTGACCTGCAGTACGCAAGCTCCGCACAGAGCAGCGCTTGCGTGACCGCGCCCAGCTGGAGGGAGAAAGTTTCACGTCTTATATTGAGGATGTCGTAGGCATCTGTCTATGCTTCAATCTTGCTTTGTTCGATGTCGACAAAGTCAAGCATATTATGATGTGCATCCAGGACGAAGCAATCCACATGGTTGTGGCGAAAACTCCTCAAACTTTCACAGACGTCATTCATCGCCGCCAGAGCTACCAGTTTCAAAAGCAGCGCATTTCCATGCGATGTCACACTTTGGACACGACCAGAGCTTCACCAGTGACCGTCAGCGCCATCTCTATGAATCGCGTCGTATTGACGCACCGAATTTAACAGTTGATCCACAAAGAGGTTGCGCGACAGTTGTTTATCGCAACCTTGCTTCCCAGTAATAGTTGTGTAGCCCCCTCGTCCCATCGCCATATCATTTAGCAGCGGGTACCTGAAGTTATTCTGCCTACGCACCAGCCCCTGACAGTATCAGCACCATTGACCTATGTCGACGTCGCGAGAAGGTCTTCACATGCACTGCCACACAGCACAGACTCTCCTCGACGCCCAAATGTCTTCTACCCCATGCGGACGCCAGCAGGCCCGCATGTACCACTTGATCACCGTCCTGCCATCCTTCGCAATTTTTCTTGGCGCTCACATGGAACAACCGACAAATATGCCAATACAGTGGTCTACCTGGACATGTGGAGAGTTTCTGCCACCACCGTATGCCTCGCCCAACTGCTGTTAACGCCAATTGCAGCTACGACCATACAGAGCCGCCACGTCTAATGCCCTCTCACGCTCATTCGAATACCTCATCCTTGAACCACCGCACCACCAACTCGTCTCGTTGAATCACCCCGCACCGGAACTCGCTATCGCCAATTCTTCGTCGTCCCACGCCTGTCCAAACGGAAACTGACCATCGCAGTCTGGAGGCAACAAATGCGCCCCTGTGAGAATCTAAATCTTCAGATCTTCCCGGTGGCTTAACTCGCCCAGAGGAAGTTGCGCTCAGGATGATTCATGTAGCCGCCGCCTTGTTTCCTGCAGTCCGGGCTACATGGACATCCGGTGCACAGCCTCCCCCAACGACATGCCCATGCTGCGTTTCCCCAGCTACAGAGGCAACACTTGATCACATACTGGGAACCTGCCCGGGCCTTCAGCAGGCTCGCACTCGCCACCTACGCAGCCTTCACCACCACCCAGGCTGACCACCTGACTTGAAGCGCTGGACGCACGATCCATTACATCTACCACTCCTTGCCTTTCTAGAGAAAACAGAACTTTTTCTTTTTATTTACCTGATGCCATAGGGCATACTGGCGCCATTAAAAAATTATTGCGGCTAGGCTGCCCGTGTAACAAGGATAGCACAGTCTCAGAGTCCTCGGCTCGATGTTTTCTTTTCGATTCGGCTTCGCATTGTCTCGAGCCTCGGCGTCTTGAGCTCGATGTTTATGTTGCACTGTGGCTTCGAATTACCTCGCAGCTTCGCGATTCGCTTGCCGATGTTGGCGTTCACGTTGTGCGTCCCGATCCTCCATCTGCTGAGGGGTACAGCTAGCGCTAATGCGTTCACAGCTTGCGTTGCTTTCACAGCTTACGTTAACGATACCGCTACAACTGACTCCAACGTTTACGTCAACAGCGCAGTTCCGAAGGAGAGTGCAAAGGTAGCGAGTGCGCCGCAATATATACGGGTACAGGGCTGTGGCGGAGAGATAAAGAAACAGGAGATGCGCAAAGAAGCAGGATCAGCGCTCACACCAGATATCCAGTTTTCTCGGGGTATCGCTCTCAGGCACTTTTTTGTCGTCGACCTGTCGGAAAACAGGGTGTTTTGACTTGCGAGGACAAATTAGGTCAAACTTGCAGAGTGCAACCCTGCATGACTGGGAAAGGGCCGAGTCGCTAGTGCTTCATTGAAATATTATCCGCAGAAGCATCGGAACACAAGCAACCACGGTCAGCAACGAAGTAAAAAATAGGCTGAAAAAATCCTGAGGCACGTTTTCGTTGTACGCACAAGGTTGCCAGAGCCTGGAAGACGCTGGTAAAATTGTCTATAGACGTCTGTCTTGAGGCACATGAACGTAAAATTTTGGCCTGCATATCTTTCTATCCATCCACATGACTCAGCCACCCGGCGAAAGTTTAAGCCCTTGCTCAGCGCCTAGTAATGTTGATATGGAGGCTACGTTGCGTCGCAAAGATTGTCGATCCAAAAGGAAATATTGCGCATATGTGAGGCGTAACATCAATACGTAAGAATTAGGTTGTGTGCTCATTTACTAGACAACTTCTCTAGATACGTAACTCTAAATAACTTGGTGTTTATAACGCTGTGCCTAAAATAGTACGCTATGCACGAAAAAAACTGAGCTAATGATATAGTGCATTGACCTTGCAGTGACCCATGCAGTGACCCTGGTTAGGCTCTGTGCGAATTCATTATCAACGTTTGATGATATTAACAGGAAAGTTCACGAATATGTAGCACACAAATGTGCGGCCAGTTTTCTCACGCTTGTAAGTGGTGCTGTGTAACCGACAGAGCTTTAACAACCCCACGAAGACAGCAACGTTTCATTTTTTAATTTGCTTCTGATCTCGAAAAACAATTCATAAATGAGAGGCTTTCAGCAACCAGCCTCGCAACCTTTGAATGCACATTTATCAAAGATGGGCGCTACATACGTGGGAAAAACCGTGACCGATCGTGATCTTGCATATATGTGTTGCCGAGTGATGAGTGTGACAGTTACCGGCAGAAGCTTTCTTAATTTACGACGAATGCCTGAAACTAGCCGAATCTTGAATAAGTCAGCCAGGTCAGGCCTAGCTACTCTAAACGCAATGATTCGCCGTGTCGATGCACGAGCGCCAGGTTCCTTGGTTAAGTGAAATGATTGTGTCGCAGCATAGAAACAGTGCCTGGTGTTAACGGCCTAATTATATTCTCCAGTTCTTGTCTTCTAGTAAATTCATCATACTTCAAAAGCAGTAGACTAACGCATGCGCAGATAAACACGCATATCCCGTGTATGTAAACAGAGTGAAAACATATGCCAAACATCTTGAATAAAAAATAGAAATTAAACCTTTGCGTTGTGCCTTTGCTTTTAGTTTTGAATGAAAGTCCATCATGTGAAAACCCCTTTGAAATATTATATAAAAGGGTATGTTATTAGAATTGTGAAGCAACCCATTTTCATGGTGTTAAACAGTCGAACCGACAACGGTAGCGCCAATTAGCGCAAGTCGTAGATGGCCAGAATGACGTCACTCTTGAGTATAAAAATTGCACTTGACCTTTTTTCACGCATGTGTGCCATGAAACATAACATATTGAGTTCAGCCCGCACCATGCCCTCCCAGATGGCCGGGCGTTCAGCAATTAAGGGCTTGAAATTTGGCCGGGTGGCTGAATCATGTGGCCAACGGAGAGACAAAAATGTCTGCGTTCGAGGATTCCACTAAAGGCTATGATCTGTAAATAACGCAGCAGATGCACAAAAAGAAGGCCGCGCCGTGGTGGTCTAGTGGCTAAGGCACTCGGCTGCTCACCCGCGCTTCGTGTGATCGTATCCTTGCTGGGGCGGCTCCACTTTCTGTGGAGGCGTAAGTGTGGCAGGCCCGTGTGCTCAGATTTGCGTGCACGTTGAAGAACCCCAGGTAGTGGGATATTTCCGCAGCCGTCCACTACAGCATCTCTCATAATATGGTGGTTTTGCGGCCTTAAATCGCACATAAGCATCACAATCACAAGCTGGTGTCACACCACTCGCTCGCTGGATTCCGTTCCGACCGGTTTTGCCCTCGCGATCTGCGACGTCAGTGCAGCTCTGGCTGACTCGTCTGGCCCTACGTCATCTTCTGACGCTGATTTCAGACGACAGCGTAGTTTTGACCCACTGGACTTGCCCTACGCCACCTCTTGACGCCGACAAGAAGTTTTGCAAGTGGTGCCCCGTCCTCAGACTCGTGTGACCGTGGTTCCATCTTTCAAATCTCTCCTATCCCCTCGATATGTCCTCGCTCACTGGCTTAGCGCATCTTTCTCTCTATATATAGCTTTAATCATATTATTTTAATCCCTCCTCACCCCCATTCCTTGTGAGCTACTCTTGAGGTGTCGCACCGTGATGCGGACAGTTACGGGGCTCACTTTTCTCTTCCTTTTTCTCTTAGAACCACTATGTGTCACACCGTGCAACCATTTCCGCTCATGAAAGATAGCATCTGCGGCGCAGTGGCACCACGTTGTGGCACCTTTGGGGAGCGTATGAAGCTCCATCATAGAGTGAAAGCGATATTTTTTTTTACCATAAACAGTACTTAATGACATTAGCGCTGCTATGTATGAGCTTCGTACCTTGTCCTTTAGAATAAACATAGGAAGAGTGGGCAACTGCTAAAGCGGGAGGGGGGAGAAGCGACAGTGATAAACGGGCTTAGTGAATTGGATGAGATTCTCTGACAAAGAAGTGGGCAGGATACTCGGTGTTAGACGCTGAATTATCCGTGTCATGGGAACTACTATTTAACGATGGCAATAAACAAATTTACGAAAGAAGGGCCCAGCTGTAATTGGTTTTCGTTGTGTATGTAGCGAATGAGATGGCTTTGAGAGGCCCCTTAGAAACGGATATACCTGCTGGCTGAAGTATAAGTAACTGGTTACTAAGGTATGACTTTTTATAATTTCTATCTCTTGTGGAGCGGATTTTTGAGTGAAATATGTAAAAATTGATGACAACGAATATGTGACCTGGTGCAATGTATTGCTGTGCCACGGCTTTTTTTTTTGGTCGCATCCTAGTGATGCTTGTTTAGTCTAGCACAAGACTGTCTTGGCCAGCCGAAATACCGCTTCTCAAAAACTTAATTAAGCGAAATGTATACCCCCTAGGCTTTTTTTTAAAAGAATATTTTTCTCACTCCTGCTTTTTTTTAGTTTTATTGCGATAGCAAATAAATGGACATTCTCGGCTAGATTTCGCCGCGAGCGTTGGCGTAAAATTCATGCACCACGTACGTATACGGATCTATATATATGAAGATGCAAAAAACGAAAAAAAAAAATCTGGATAAGGGACTCCGGCGCGCGGAATCGAACGTGAGACCTCTGCGTCTTGAATGCGACGCGTTAACCACTGAGCCACTGAAAAGTACCTTGGATAATATTTAAACTGCAAACTTCTATATCTACCTCTTACCGTTGTTGGCGAGCATCTTGAAGGGAGGGGGGAGGAACTATCGTGTTTTCAACATTAACTGCAGGGTGACGCCATGAGCACGCGCCAGCTCTCATCTCGCACGCGTACTTCGGCCAGCGGAGAGGAGGAGAGTGTTGTATATAAGTGGTGCACAAAGGTCACTGCAATCGTTGCAAAGCCTCTGTTTGCAAAAAAGTGGCGCACTTTTCAGACACAGCGAAGTAACAACTGGGACGCTTATTCGCGTTCATCTGTACTTGTGAGTACATCTCGTGCGTCATTTGTGCGTAAGAAACGCGGGGAAGGTTTCGATCCGCTTGCCATTCTGCGCGTCACCTTTCAATTTGTTGCTATCATGTTCATTCCTTTGCCTTGGCGGCAAAGCTATGACTGTTTTTTTTTTACTTTCCTCATCACTTGTTTTTGTTCCAAGAAAGGGTACGAAGCATAAACGCACTTTTGCAAATAAAAACTATTCTATCCTTGAAGAAGACAAGTTCACTCGTCGTAACTCTGGCTCGAGCACACACATCCTGTTTAAAGATCTTTTCCCCACAAGCATTCATCTTCCTCATCCCGCCATTTGACTTGAATGCTGAGACTTTCTCAGCGAATTGCAGTGAACTTTAGCGTATCCATCAATTCATTCATCTATCCATCCATCTGGCCATCCGTCCATCCATCTGTCCATCCATACATTCATTCATTCCTCCATTCACCTATCCATCCACCCATGCATCCGCCCTTCCATCCTTCCATCCCCCATCCATCCGTTCATCCATCGACCTATCCTTTCATCTATCTATCTATCTATCTATCTATCTATCTATCTATCTATCTATCTATCTATCTATCTATCTATCTATCTATCTATCTATCTATCTATCTATTTATCTATCTATCTATCTATCTGGGTATGACTTCATGCTCACATGGTTATTCGCTTGATGAGATGTATACGAAAGTTGACATGCCATAATATGAAGGTATGACAAGTGTGAATGACATCATAAAAATGACCACTAATTTACTTGCCTTGGATTTACTTGCAATCTTGCTGCCGTTCTATTACCTCGAAATATACTAATATTTGTATTGTATGAAATGAGTGTAGGAAAAACATAGCTAACAAGACTTAGGGCTAAAATATGAACACGCATGTCATGTAAGGCATGATTGGAAGTTTATTTAAATGATATGACCAAATTCATACTCCTTGACGCGACTGCATTCATTAAATAACATACAGGTGGTAACGTGGCAATCATAACATGCCCGACATGTACGCCATGGCTTCTATGGCCCGTCACGGTTGTTTCAGCCGCTTTCTGTGCAGAAAGATTGGCATGGCGTGTCGTGATTTTTTGACGACTGTGACGAAACGTGTTAACAGCAGTATAATGCTATGTACGTCATCTGCTCCATGACTTGCGTGCCACGACCATGGTGCGCACGTAGCGATTTTGCTCGCTTGATGTACACCGAAATCGGTGTTGTGTTAGGACTGTAGGACAAGCATCTGACAGGTAGCAATAAGAAAATGACTACAATGTCATGTATAGCATCGAGGCATACTTTTACTTTTCTTTTGGTGCGACACATTCGGGACTTATACTGGTAGTGGACAGTCTGCTGGGAAAAGGAAGAGGTAGTTGGAACGATGACGGAGATGCAATAATAAACTGCGCAGCGTTCTAGAAACGGCGTTTCAGATTGCTGCCGCATGAGTTATATACCACGCTGATGGTTCGCTCGTCGTGGTGTCGCTCAGTTGATATGCAATAAACTCGCTGATGTGCTAAGCGGATGTGTTACTAACAAATAAGGCGGGTGGTAACAAGAAAGTATTGATGTGCACGTTATGTTCACTGAAAGTTACGTATGTGCCACTTCTTGCTGGTTGCTTTGCATTACATCAATTTTCCTTATGCGTGAGATATGCCAGATTTTCTGGGGCAAAGCTCCTTATAGTCGAGCCACGTCCACCGTACCGACAGTGGCGATGATGAACAAGCGCGTTCTAGACCACACATTTATTTTTTGCAACCGCAGCACAGCCAATGCAATCTTTCAACCATTGACAAAAACGATCGCGAAAGAGCTTTTACCCTCGTGGAGTTGACCCTTACGACGACCAATAGAGCAACTTTGTGTGTACAGTACACATGTGTTGTCCCTCCTTCTATACGGCATATTCACAGTAACCCAACGATTTTCCGGAGCTTCGCTCACTCATAATTCTTCATTTCAAGGATATGTCATGCTTTTGAAAGTAGGAATAAATTAGTAATCGTACACTTAAAAATATATTACAATATATTGCACTATATGTATCAAGGGCACTATTGGTAAAGATATGTTTACCCTTTATTTATAGTCATCCAGTAGAAAAAATGTGAAAACTGAAGTATGTCTGTTTGGCGAACCCCGTGAAGTTTTGCGCAATTCTAGCATAACCGCAATACTAACCAAATTTGGCTGACCATACTGAAATTAGAACAAATGTAATCTTACTTTCAACCATAGTCCAAAATTGTCTGTTTTTGGCGGCGAATGAACAGCGGTTTGAATAAAACTAATGAATATTGCTGCATGTAGCTCTGATCTCAGCCGGAAGCCGCCTTAACGTATCCGTTATTTAGGTGCCGGTCACTGTACTATGCATACAGTGAAAGGCCAGCATAATAGCATTTATTCGCAACCACTTTTGTTTCCCTTCTTAGGGATTACCAGATATATGTACTGAGGTTTACAAGCAAGACCAATGTCGGTTCTTGAGCGTCAATTCAAGGTCAGCGTTTGGAGTCCCGTTGAGAGGAGCGTAAGTAGACTTTTATATACTCAATAGCTTGCATTACATGTAATTACTAAAACTTGCAGCTTCACTGGTAGTATCAACATACACTACAAAAAACTCTGATGTTGGACAAGGGGCGTAGGCAGAAATGTTTGTACGGTTGGGTGCCACGTTTATCTGAATTGGGGACCGGATGTGCAGGCGTGGTCGAGTGCCGTTTTAGGTCCAACATGCCCAGGGTAAAAACGAAACTTCGGCGAGAGTGGCAGGCAAGGGCCAAGATCGCCACGTCTTGGCTACGCCACTGTTTCACTATAATAAGGGTATGAATTTCAACAATTATAAATATCAGCATATTTGTAGGCTCAAAATACACGGTAAGAAGACGAGAGAGACCAGACATTACCAGCGCTGGACAAGTGCGTTTATACGTATTTTTTTGCTCCGAAAAAAGAGTCGTGCGGCGATGGCGTGGTTTATCAGAGAAAGCAAAAAATTCAGTGGTGGAGATACCACAGACCGCTTCTATATAAAGGGGTGCAGCCACACTCAGCACAATGTATTGACAATATTCAACCTACTTTAACTTCACCTAGGCAAAACCCATCACGAGACGTATGATCTTGGCAAACAACTGCAACCTTCCATGGATATAATGTCCAGGAACTCTGGACGTCAACAAATGGCGCCATTTGTAGGATTGGCTGCTACGTGACAGCATCGCCCGCTGGGAAAAGATCTTTAAGTATTTATTGCAACATATGCATATTTGCATATTTATTACAGCATATGCTTAACTCGGTCCGTATGTATAATCTCGGCGCCATTAATTCACAGTGAGAAAAACTTTCCTTCCTTTCTATAAAATACCTTGGTAAAGAGCAACATTAGCTGCCATGCTAGGCTCCTTAGAAGGGAATCGAAAAATTAATTTAACAACAATCTGCCTTCAACTGCTTAAACCATTGTAGCTAAGAAATCACGACGATTCAGTCTTGGTCCCTGTGAAGTTTAGTTTATATCGGCAAAGCCCCAGAGGCCCGGCGGGCAGTTCTGAGAAAAAGTGCTTCAAGCGATACTCCTTTACAGGAAACACGCGCATCATAGCGCTTTCGACTACCCGTAATTGCACAAATTTGCAGTTTTAATGTAAGGTTCTTTCTCAATATATGCACTGTATGGATACTCTGCAGACGTAATGCTGATAAATAGCAATTACACGTGCCAGGTTAAAGTAGACGATTGAAGTTAAGAATATATTTTGCTAATCAAAGGGTAGAAAGTAACAATCGACAAGACCCAATGATATACATAGTTTTTCTCTAATGGATATATAAATAAATGCTACTGTTTAACGTACTAATCAATTTATACCCAATAGGGGAAAGCTCAACAAAGTAGCTCATAAATAATTGCTTTATACTATTAGTAATGTCATGCACGCCATTGATGTTTGCGTATTTTCGATATATATAAACATCTTTATTGATTGTAATTGCTTAGTAGTAATTTTTGAAAATCGTCACTGCTCTGTGAAATTCTCAGTTATTTATCGCGGATCAAATCGCGGTCCGGTCACAGGTTGTCACAGGTGGTCGAAATTTTTGAAGTACTCCACTACGGCGTATCACATAATTACATGGCCCCGTCGTGGTGGTCTAGAGGTTGAGGTACTCGGCTGCTGACCTGCAGTTCACGGGATGGACTCCCGGCTAAGGCGGCTACATTTCCGATGGAGGTGGAAATCTTGTAGGCCCGTGTGCTCAGATTTGGGTGCACGTCAAAGAACCCCAGGTGGCCTAAATTTCCGGAGCCCTCGACTACGGCGTCTCTCATAATCAATTGATGGTTTTCGGACGTTAAACCCCACATATCAATCATTCGATCATAATCATACGGTTGTTGGTGGATGTTAGACTGGAACAAATAATGGAAAACTTATGCTTGCAGTTCGATGTGAACGAGGTAAATAACAATGAAATATTCGGAGGGTAAAGTTGTAAAGTATCACATGAAAGTACACACAAGGATTATGAATGATACAAATATTCTAAGATGCTAGTTAGTGATAAGCGTTCTCTAATTTTATTGATACGTTTTTATTAAAAAGTGAGAATTGGTCTCAAAACTTCGTGAGAGAATTTTCCTGAGAAATATCCATGCAAATTTGAACCCTGTTGTCAGCTGTATTAAACAATTTGTCTATTTTAAGATTGAAGTAAGGAGCCGTTCAAAAACTGGAACTTATTCAAAAATATATCAGCCACTTAATGTATTATGGTGACCGGATTTAAATAATGATAGTGTTCTCCACGATGGTGATGGATGATTGGTATTTGGCTAGGATATTGATCAAAAGCCGTTTAAATGTATCGATTAAAAGAGTTAAGTGAGAGGTATAGAAGAGATGGTGATTAAAGCTTATCGTTGTACGTAATGAACTTTGGGTAGATAACCAGTAAATTATTCCATTAGATCACTCTAGTCTATGAAATGAAAGAAACGGTAGAGGCAGAATGAGTTTGAAACGTTTTGCTAATTGGTGGCTTGGGCCTCTGTACACTACTTAAAGTGATAATTTTTTAGATAAGCTGTTCGAGCATTTTATGATGAGCTAATCCAACTTCAAGTATGAGTATTTCTTTCTCTGTGTTCATTCGAGATGTTTGCTTTTGCTTGAACTTCCTCGCATGTTGTTCTGCGTTACACGCATAGGTTTGGGAAATAAATAAACTTAGTAAATGTACGCTGAATGCTAATTAAAGTGTTTTATTTGCATTTAGTGTGTTAATTGTCATTACACTGCCGCACAATTAGGCTTTACAGAAAGACTCATTTCTTTTAAAAAACCTACAGGTTGTTTTTATTTCAGTTATTCCTGTAATTCTGATATTTGCAGCTTGATCTGAGTATTAGTACTTAAAACTTGTTTTATCTTCAAAAGTGCCATTATCAAAACTAGGTGTGTCGCACACTGTGGTTCTTTATCAAGGGAAACACGTGAGCACGTGGTCTGCACTCTGCGGAGGCTACCTACAGGACCGTCATCAACCGACCGCAAAAAAAAGACGTTAGCTTTTGACGTCATTTCTCGGCAAACAAAACAACGAATTATGACCGCCGGACAAGCGCTGCACGATACTCTAAGCTGCCGTTGTAGAGAGCTTGTCACACGACCACGTGTTCCCTTTCATGAAGACTGACAGCGTACATGTCACCTTTCTCCCACAAAATGTTTTCGCTGTCATCCTATTTAGGCGTGCTTGCTTAAATCCATTTTGCCTCAACCCACAAGAAGCAGTAATGAGTAAAGATATGGTTATTTCTAACCCGCAATACCATTTTCAAGCACAGTATTTTTTCTCAACATTATCCAATCTTAACATTCCATAAATCGCTCTGCCTGGTGCTGCTTGGCAAAAAAAAATATTTGTAATTTTCATTTTGTGTGCATTCAACTCTATTCTTAGTGCTGTACATACAACATAGTGCATGCGTGCGTTTCTGCTATGTCTCTATGAAGAGCTGCAGTATGTGTAACTGAACAAACCAGTGAAAACAAAGGTCTTGTCGGACACGTTTTGAAAATTCTTGTACTAGAAAGCGTTGAGGTGATTTTCATCATTCAGGGAGTGGTGTCATAATTTTTCACCACTTGAAGATTAGTGTTTGAAGTAGAAACACTACAATCGACAACCCAAAAGTACTGCCGTGCTTCAGTGCATCGGACAATAATTGACATATGTAGGGTTTAACGTCTCAAAACCACCCAATGATTATGAGAGACGCCGTAATGAAGGCTCCGAAAATTTCGGCCACGCGGGGTTCTTTAACGTGCACCCAGATCTGAGTACATCGGCCTACAACAATTTCGCCTCCGTCTAAAATGTAGCCGCCGCAATCACGATTCTATTCCGCGACCGGCGGATCAGCAGCCGAGTACCTTAGCCACTAAACTAACGCGGCGGGTGAGTTCACCTGATACGTTTTAATAGCTGTAAAAATGTAGATTTTGATATCGATGATGTAGTATGGGACTTCCACGTCCACTTCAGCGCTTGCCTGCTTTGCAAATATTGAATTGAAGCAGCACTCAAAGGTAGAAAATTTGTCTGAGATGGCAGATTTTTACTGTAGAATTGGTTCCTCAGGCTAACAAGGCGTCATTAGAAATGGCGTACTAAAGCTACCGAAGTAGGGCGATGGTACAGCAGCACTACGACGTTAGACGACGTAGTAGGCTTCCTAAAAGCAGTTTTTTATTTGCTATACCTCGCGGGAACCAGCATGATGCTTTAACAGCAGCTGTGTGACGTGATGCTAGAGGCACGTGGGGAAGGTAAACAATGATTAGTGCATTGTCGTGCCGGTACTCCGATATTGACTATAGACTTTATCTTCAAAGCTGGTTGAGATAAACAGCGCAAAAAACGAAGAGTAAAGGAAGCACACGAGACGAACGCTCATTTTCAGCTGAGAAATGTAATTAGGAAACACCAAAAGTATACTTTTCTTTTCGCGCATGCGAAAAAAAAAACATTGTTTGGTCTTCCTTCATTACAAGGCAAGAAAACTGAAAACACTTCTCTGTAGACACGAGAGATACTATCTTAACAACGTTAGCGGTAATAATTTAAAAATGATATTTCTTATCGTGGAGGGCGATGGACGTTTCACTGACGCTGTATTGCTCTGTCTTTTATATTCTGCGGGCTTCCAATATTTTCCTTGTCGGCTTGACGTGGTGGCGACAAAAAAACTTTCTCAAAAATCTGCAGTGCACCCACACTCCCGGCAGTGCACGGCCAGCTGTGTCGAAAGCACAATATCCAGGAGGGAATTCTGGTGCCCGATCAGTCTCGAGTTCACACACCAACCCGTCTGACCAATATAAACACTTCCGGCCGTGAAGGGTGTGCTGTATGAAACTCCGCTGACACATTGTACAAACATAGTCTTGGGCTTTAAGGAGCATGCATCATGCAACTACGGGCCGTTTTCGTCGCGTACCCGCACAGCTGCACAAGCTTTGCTGACCTTATTCTTGGCAGCGAAAGCCACTTCTATAGCCTGACTTAGCTCACATGCAGAACGCAAACACGGAAAATTCTGTCAAGCGTGTCTATCTAAACGAGGCTGTATTGCCGATGCTGGGCTAGTAAAATTAAAGCTAAGCTCTTCTGACATCTTGCGTATACTGAGCGTGAATCCTGTGTAACTATGAAAGGTCCCTTTTGCTACGCCTCAGAATTGTACTATTTCTCTTCTGACATCTTGCATATAGCGAACGTTAACCCAGTGTAACTATGAAAGGTCCCTTTTGCAACGCCTCAGAATTGTATTAATCCTTTTAAACACTGTAATGATGATATATAGTTAAGGAATATGGCTAGATTCGAGTGTGCATACCATAATACCTATAATTATACATAACGGGCTATAGCACAATAATATGGGTTAGCGCAGAGAGCATTGCGTAAATCACTTGCTCGCGATGATATTTCCTGTGTGACTGAGTATTTTGTACTCCTCAGTAAAGTTAGCGAAATGACCGAGTGCTGAGTGTAATATCATATATGCCAATTTTTTTCTTGTTTCAGTGCGGCCGCTACCATAATGAATTGGGCAATGATGAAATTCGTAATCTTGTTTGCGCCATTTCTGCCTTCTGACGACCCTTCATTGCTTCCGTTTTACCAACTAGTGGCCCTCTTCCACCGGAGGGCCGAGATGCCGCACAAGGATATTCTCTGCATGCACATCCTTGAGCGGTACTACAGTGATACGCTTCAGTGGTTAATCAACAAGGATGACTACCTAAACAACGTGAAGGCACACGTAAGACCTTATTTTAATTTATTTAATTTATATTTTAAGACCTACATTTTAATGTCATGTTCTGAAGCACCAAATTTTGTGTATTGGCGAATGTGTCCGTTGATTATATTACCACTTATCGTACAGCAAGGGTTCCTAACAGTACGCTTCCTGAACATGTAGTGAACTTCGTAAAATGAAATACTCTTGATAGTATTCTCTGAGTGCGAATGGAAAGAAAGGGATTCAAAAGCGGGTAAAGGGGAACACACAATTGGCGACGACGAGAGTGCTAGTGTACCTAACTGCTGTAGCAACGTTTTGATGGCAAAGCTGCTTAAGCTATCTGAAGATCTCAAAATGTAACTGATGAGTTTTCTGTAGCGCTTGTCGTCGTCGACGTCGACGAGCTTCGCTAAAAATAACCTGGACCTTTAGGACATTCCATCGGCGACTTTAGTCTGGTGACTAGGGTACTCGAACGCTCAACTCTAGGCCGTGGGACCTCATCCAGGCTACTGCGGCGGCATATTCAATAAAACCAAAAAAATTGTCACTCGTGTTTAAGCTATGCAGAAAGAGAGAGCAGCAAGGTTTGTCACAATCTTTTTCTGAGGAACACATCCAGTAATCATAAACAACGCACGAATGTTACCGAATCAGTAGGTTGCTGGTGAAAGCACATCGCTACAGTCAACAGCGTAGTGTTATGAAAAATGTAAATTTCGTGGTGAGTACCTTGAATGCTTCCGAGTACCTTGAATGTTTCATTGTAGATTTCCTTTCGTGCCACCGTCGTGGACGTTCCTTACCACAGCGTGGTAAAAATAGCGATGAACATAAACAGCCAGCTATACGCAACGTATAGAAAATTCACTGTCGCCACATGGTTGACGCATGGCATACGACTGCAACAAGTAGGGACGCTACACGACAAAGCGGAAGCAAAACGTTACTGTAGACTCCTTTCCATCGCGGTGTGCACATAGTTACAGTGGTAGTTCTTATGAAAGGGAACACAGGAGCCCGTGGGCGGCGCACTCCGGCAGCTTCTGGCAGCGCGTTCAAGTGGGAGCGAAAGCAACCACAGCCTCTTTTGGTGTCATCTCGAGGCGAGCAAAACCAACAGTCATTGTTGAAATGGAATCCGAGTCGAGACTTTAACCCCCTTTCCCTTCAAGGCAATCACCGACTTCTTGCGTGATCGTCTTTACGAGGGAGAGGATTACAGCCTTGTTAAGGGTTTCTGACAGCGTTACTGCAGTGACTGCTTGTTCTACTCGCTTCGATTTGACGCGAAAAGGAGCTGAAGTTGCTTTCCTTCCGGCTTGAACGCACTGCCAGCAGCCGGCGGAGCTTGCAGGCCACACGCTCTCGTGTTCGCTTTCATAAAAATTTCTTCTGCACACGCGAACTTTGATGGCACGTCACGCACCACGTATTTCATCAAATGGCTTGAAATTTAGTGTGCACAATCACGCACACCAAGTGAGTAAACACTCTTGAGTGAACAACTGGCGATCAATAAACTTTATTATGCTGCGTGCTTTTGCAGAAAACTGCTTTGCTGTAAACACTATCATGTTCGATGAGAATCGGAGGGGAAGTGTGCTAAACCTAACGTGAAAAGTCTTTTTTATTTTTTGGAAACAAATGCAACCACAAGGTGAAGTGTGCATGTATTTTGTTTCTGGTGGTGGATACTTTTTGTGCAAGTTGAGTGGTGACATAATATATAGATGATTCGCTCATAAAATTAAATCACCAAATATCAAACAAAAAAGCGCTTTCGTTTTTTTTTTCATAATTAGAACGTACAACTGAGTGCCTTGAATGTGACGCGTTTCTGACAGCGCATCATAAATTGTGACCGAAGAACACACAATTGCGCGCCAGAACACACACCGGAACGGTACTAACTGAACTGCTGCAGACACACTTGCGCCACGCTGCCCAGCTCAACGCTGTTCAAACACAAAGATGACGTTCGAAGAGAACGTCCAGGTATACGAGGACGAAAGGGAAATAACATAGGTCACAGTTGTTACTTACTTATGTTTTATCAGTACGCTACAACTTTCAACTGCGACAGTGCCACCGCTTTGAGCCCTGTGGCCCGTGGAGAGCACTCGATGCATCCGGATTCGTGGTGATGCTTGAAGCATTGAAGGACCTTCTCTGTACATCATGAGAGGGGTGCGGAAGTGAGACAAACTTCAGAACACGCTGCGGAAAGAGCGGGTCTTTTTTTCTTTGCTGGTTCGACTGGGAGTGGAGTTCGCTTTTCAGGCACATTCTTCCGCCTCAAAATTTCACTTGGCTCTGCCTTGTTCAATTTTCTATTTAAGGTGTGGTGAGTGCGAGTGCTGCAATATTACGTGAACGTTGTGAGCATCTTTGTGTACTGTGTATAATTTTGTGTTTGTCGAATGAAAGTTCGCTTGCGCATGGTACAGCTGCGGATGTAATTTTTTTCTCAGTTGATGTAAACATTTACTTCTATAGTTACCTGAAAAAGATCCCTGATGGATGTAAAAAAACTTCCCTCGATCCATCCAAAACCCCTGCTGTAGGGGAGAAAACTTTTTACTCCTTCCAAACGGTCTCTATAAAACCCTTATTGGGGCATGCACTATAGAGGACAAGTAGGTTACTCCCATCTTGGCTTATTTTTGTTTACAGTGTAAGCCTTGTGCCCGTTGTGCCAGGCGACGAGGCATCTCATTTTAAGTGCAATATTATTTTTTTTTCATTTATACAGATGCAGCAGGCAGTGTCCAAGCTTGACAGCCAAGTATCAGCCCTTGGAGCAAAGGGCCAGGAAGACTTCTTCACTATGCAACTTGCATATCCGAAAAGTCCATTCCCACCAGAAATGATCAAAAGAGTCCCGCTCAAGCCGTTTGTACGTACACTTTAGCAGTTTTCATCATGATTTACAACTATTGTGTTTATAAAAACTAACGGACTTTCTGTTCGATAGTTATGATAACATGCCCAGGAGTTCACAATGCTTTCACTTATTGTTCGTCAATTGAATGAAGCGAGTTTTCAAAGTTCTTAAGCACAGAAAATATCCAGACGCTCCTTGTTTTGATTGAAAACTGAAGCAGTATCAGTAATTGTGAATCTCTTCCCTCCACTTGTAAGAGCAGCACAATCTGCAGTGCAAGGCATTCGCGTAGTTATAATATACTTGAATATCATGATTTAGACGCGTGGTAAGTAAAATGAAGTCCATCACGAAAAGAATCCAAATATTTTATGCAATGAGTAATGTTGGTTTCTATTAGCCCTAGAAAAACGTAATGCAATAACGAAAATAAATCGAAAAATAAAAGAAACTTTTTTCTGTGCTATGGTTATACTGTCCCCACTAAACTTTTCTCAAAAACGTTTCTATCATCCTTCATTGTATGCGCTTCTCAGCTGCGTTTGCGTGAAAAAATTTAGGTATCGTGGTACGGACGTCTGCAAGTACAGAGAAGTGGTGGGTTTGTCAAGATTAGGATTTCATTTTATAGATTATGAGTCGCACAGAGCAACAAAATCAAATAATGCGTTCAAGTATGAAAATACAGATTTCAAAATAAAAAAAACATAGTATAAGTTATAAAGTTGTGTGTTCAGATATAGAAATAGAGAGTTTATTAAAAACCATGAAGCATTGTACAAATTTTCATTTGTTTTAGATAAACCTGTAAAATACTACAATGAGTGTTACATTATTTCCCCTACATGATTAACAGCGTAAAAACGGAAAGCTGCCATAAAAACTGTTTTATAATAAAATAACCTTGATTTTCTCAAGTTTTTTTTATACAGTGCACCCTAATAGGGACACATGACGTGGAATGATTGATGTAGTCAACATTCATCTAATGGTGAGCGTGTGTTTGACAGCAGGACCGAATGGTCTGAAAGAAAGCGCCCTATGCTGTTTGGCTTGAAGGAGGCGCCTCCAAGAGTTGCAAAATAAAGGAGGTTAAATGATGGAGCTCAGAAGTAGTAGTTACTCATTGCGAGAGCAATTGAGGAAGTAAAGCGAAAGAAACACCCTTGGTCAGCCGGGATTGGACCACAAAACCGGATGTTGCGAAAGCAAGTGCTCTAGGCTCTGCGCTTACAAAGGAATGGTTGTGCAGCGGAAATTTGTGGAAAGTGTATGAATTTATCGTATTGAATATCACGTAGAAAGAAAAAAAATGAACAGTCGGAGAGAAGAAAAGGGAAGGTAGTCAGGGGATTGACAGCAGAGAGGAGCTTTGGTTCATAGTCAGAGTGAATAAAGAAGTAGAGTAAAACAAGCAGCCTTAGTGCGGCGTTGTTCGAGAGTGAAAGCCCGTTGTTCGAAAACAAGTGCCCCAACCACTCGGCTAGATAGGGACGCTGTATGGAAAGCATATGGATGCATTGTATCGAATATGACGAAAGAAGGGGTCATGAGCATTCACACAGGAGGAAAGTGAAGGACAGGTGCTAGACAAGAGTGACGAGCCTGACTGATAGGGATAATAAATAAAGGAGACAACCTTGGTGAGCCGGCATGCGATGGCACAACTTAGTGATTCCTGAATAACTTTTCTAGCACGGTTTCTCCACCATCTTTCAGGAGGTCCGTTGTAACCTTATTCTCACCAGCGGCTTTGTTTCTTTGCGTTCCTTTAAGATTTTCCTTACTTCCGTGTCTTTAGTAAGGCGTCGAATTACTTTGAAGTATTAGGGTTTCTCACATTATCATCCTGAATTTTTCGGCTTCTGTACAGCTCTGTGGAACTCCTCTGCCACCTAGACTATTCTATTCTAAGTGGTAAACTTGGTTATGACATTGCTTTACTTGTTTTTCAATGCATACATTTAATTTTTGCGTATGGAGAAGTCTGCTTTGGTAGCTTTTAGGCTTCTGCCGTTTTTTTTTTTTTGCGGTCTGCTCAACTCTTTTTATCTCATACCTTCTTATGTCGGCTATACCTTACGCCTATTTATTAACTTGGACAGCTCGACTAGCTTTATTTTGTTGGTTGAATTTGATTGGAAGATCAAGGGAGAGGTCCTTGCGCTCTGTGGGCGTAGTCAGGCTGATTATGATGACAGTACCACGAACGATGAGACGTGGTTTTGCAGAGCCAGCGTGGCCAACAGTACTGTGAACGCAGGGAACAATTAACCACTATATGTTGCTTTCTTATAATACGAGAAGGCGTTTTACTTAGTCTAGACATCAGCAGTAATGCAGGCACTATGGAATCGGGACATTGAAGGACCCTAGACACACAGGCTCCCCAGGCCATCGCGTGCTCCGCACTGGAGCACGCGATGGCCTGGGAGAAATCTGCAGCGGATACAGAGCCAGCGAAGTCATCCATAAAGAAAGTGACATAATACCAATAAAGAAGGGTGTAAGGCACGCAGAAACAATTTCCGCAATGCTATTCACCGCGTGTTTACAACAGAATTTCAGGACCCTAGATTGGGAAGAGTAAAAAATAAGTGTTAATTAAGAGTATCTTCGTACCGTGCAATTCGCTGATGGCACTGCCTTGATGAGTAAGTCAGAGGACATTTTTCAGCTCGTGATTGCAGAACTGGAAACAAAAAGCAGATATGTAGGTTTTAAAATGATGTGCACAAAATTAATCTGCAACAGTTTCGGCAGAAAACGGCACATTGCGGCAGGTAGAGAGACGCTTGAAGTTGTAAAGGAATATGTGTACTCAGTAGTAACCACAGAGTAGAATCATGAGAGTGAAATAAGTAGAAGAATAAGAATGGGGTGGATCACATTCGGCAAGAACTCTCAAGTCATGAATGGTAATCTGCCACTAACCCTCAAAGGGAAGGTATATAACAGCTGCATCTTGCCAGTACTTAACTAGGGAGCAGAAACCTGAAGGCTTACAAACAGGGTTCCGCCCAAATTGAGGACGACGCAGCGAACGATGGAAAGGAAATAGTAGGTGTAACTTTTACAGACAAAACGAGAGCAGGCTGGGTCGGTGAACAAACCGGGGTTTGTTCCCTGACCTACCCTGGCACGTAGCTTGTAGGCAAGATAACCACTAGCCAATAGGTGTAAGTGACTGGTTTCTAGAGAAGCCAAACGCACCAAGAGGAGACAGGAAGTTAGGTAGGCCGATGAGAATAAAAAGTTCGCAGGTATTATGTGGCAACAGAAAGCGCTAGACCGGGTTGACTGGCGGATCATGGGAGAGGCGTTTGCACTGCAGTATGCGTAGAGAGGCTGATTATGATGAAAGCGCCATAAACGGTGAGACGCTGTTTTACAGAGCCAGCGTGGCCGCCAATATTGCGAACACAGTGATTAAAGGATGCCACCCCATGCAAGTGTACAAAACTGAGCGAAAAAATGTTCGATATGTTTTCCGTCCTGAGGCACTGATTGAAGTATTTTCTCCTCCATGGCCGCAAATCACACAGGAAGACTAGGCGATAGGTGAGGGCAGGAAGAGCTAGAGGGAAGGGTGGTTGATGGCTGGATGAGGTACATCAGACTGCCATTGATAAAATAGAGGAGGCGTGGGGAAGATGAAGCACCAGTTTGGCCAGCAGACTCCAGTCTGGGCAGCAGGTTTAGCAGCAAGCACCTGCCAAAGCGGCAGGTGCACAAATTACCGCCTCCGTGAACACCGAAACAATGTGCACAATGTGGTACAAGAGCATCTTGGCATTTAGTGCCGAAATTCTGGGTGCACCCCCCTCTTTGATCAGTGCTCTATAGTGGCAAGGCACAGGGACCAGCTTACCCGAGAAATTATCGAAGCCGAAAAATACACTGGCTAGGAGATAAATGCGTAAGCACTTCATCGGTTGCTTTACCACAGGCTGAACGTGATTACCTGGCTGGGCTTGGAGGTAATAGAGGACCCGTCGCACGTGCTTTGTTACTGATGTGTAGATTAGGCTTGCACTTCATCGTCATGCTCTGTAATCATTCCCTTTTTTAGACGTATATATTCTTGGCACTCTGTGATATATAGTTAGTTGGAAGTCAGCGCTCTTTCTGTCTACCCTGTCCTTTTTCCTTTGTTAGCGCACTGAAACATCTTGCAAATATGAAGAGGTTTGTATTAGCAAGCCTTTTACATACACCGCAGACCGTTTGGCGGCCCTCAGAGCCCCACAACTTACGCGCGTTTTCGTCACCAGTAGCGAGATGGCCCAGAATGCGCACGTCGTCACCTCTCGCGTTGCGATGAGCGCGGGCATGGTTTCATCGTTTCTCCTGTGCGCGTGCTTATCAATATGACTTGTGATTCGGTAGAGCAGGAAGGTCAGTCATCTCGCTGCGGCGGCCGTGTTTACGAAAGGAGGAAGGTACTAGCACTCGAAGAAGCAACGATTGTGACAGTTGTTCGCACTTGTTCCATGTATCGTTGTTCATTTGTTTCGCGAGTGTTTCTTTCCGCTTGAGCAGTGCGCTTTCTGTGTTTAGCTAAGACATTTCTTTGTCCGTGCACGTCCTGTGTAGGATATTTTTGTGCGTTCTTTCTGTTTAGCAGCGCGCTGCAAGATTCATGTTGTTTGCCCTTCTTCCCGTGACATTGGGCATTAAACGCTGAACTATGTCAATGAAAGGCGCAAATGAATTTCGTGCTAAGCCGATTTTCAGAAAGAGGGATCGGCCACGGTTTTCTGATCTCGGAAGGCTCTTATGAAAAATCTCAAAACACTTATAAACGCTCACCTACCTATACGAAGGCACGTTTCACTTTCGTGACAGACCTATTTCCAGAAAAGGCATCAGCCACGATTTGCTGATCTCAATAGACGCTTATAGAATATGTGTCAAAAGTTCTATTCTACCAAAAAATGTTTTGACGAAGATGTCTTACTTTCGACTTTTTCGGACCCCAATGCGTGAACCTAGTACTGTTCAAGCAGTCGTCTTTCCGGGTGAATAATTGTTGCTGTGAACAGATTTTTTTTATTATTTTGTAGTTCTGTGAAGAAATGAAGAAATTTTAATTGCATCCTAATTTTTCCTGTGGGCACTGGTACTCTTTCCTTTTCTGTGCGTCTTCGTGAATCTACGTTAGTTCTTTTTTTCATTTACAATGCTCACGTTGAGAGCTTCAAAAAAGAAACCAATGCCACATAATCTGCATGTGTCAGAACCACGCCTGATCAAGAAAGATCGGGCTGAGCCGTTTCTTTTTTAACAAACCGAAACAGGCCAAATGATGCAAGTGACGGGGATTTCTTTCTTGGGGATATTTTTTTTTTTTCATTTATGGGTTCAACTGTGTACGGATGCATGTGCGGACAAAAAGGTGTCTTAAATACAGGAATCTGTGCTGTATGTATGTAGATGTTGGTACGTTCAAACCTTCGAGACAACTAATACACGTTTCGAGTGTTCGGTGCTTTTGTGTTAAAATCAGATTTCACTCGGGTATTGAAGAAGTTCAGAATATTTAGGTTGTGATAATCGAAAATAATGCTATTAAAACGCAGTATTTCTTGAGGAAAATGATTTCTATCTACATATGTGATAGTGTCAAAGTGAAGAAAAGAATTGTTCATTTGAGCACGGAAATATGGAGCATTTATGTGAGGTCATGAAGATGTGTTTTAGTGATGCGATTATTTTTGTTATTGCAGTTTGCTGACTACTCTCGCATGATATATTTTGCTCCAGAGACACCCGAAAAAAGCATAAAGGTAAGAAATGACGTCAATGTTTTGCTGAAAATTGTTCTCAGGTTACTTATGTGTACTACTCCTTGAATATTAAATGTACGGAAATATACGAGAGCAACCCTGATAGCGTCTGCCGCATTTGAATACAGGCTATAAGCACCTGTGCTATGTGACGTCTTCGTGTGGTAAAATATAAAAGGTGGTCTAAAGTGGCGCGTAAAACTTTCCAAAAGTATTTTTTGTGCGTGAATTGTGCTAGCGCGATGCGACTTTCTCATCCCCGCAACTTCCTCTGTTTGAAGCTACTTTGTTGCACGAAAATTGAAGTATTTAACTACAAAACGCGGTTATGCTGTGCCCTGCTCAGGAATTTTAAGTGCAGCTCACTTTACGAGGCTGATTTGCTGTCTTCTCTCATGTGCGGTTGTTTTCGCTAGACGTAATGCTCTATGCGTATTATGTTGAGCGAGCGTACGCACCGAGAAGAAATCACGAGGAACGGAGGCAACACCCAGTATAAAAATTAAAAAAAAAGCACAAAACAGGAAAACAAGGGAAATTCAGAAAAAGCAAAAAATCTGGAACTACCAAAATGTACAGAAACAAAGAGAAAAATTCAGAAACACGTAAAATGTAAAAACTGAGGTAGGACAAAAAAAAAAGATCTCTCTTCCCACTTTCTCTAGGCATGGCACCCTCAGGGCCAAGTTTTCAGGGTAAAGTTTTCTTTTCTATTGGGGCAATTTTTCGTCTTGGCACCACTGTCACGTTGAAAAAAACATTCCATGGTATTTCCTACGCTTTGCGCAAGAACTGAACGAAAAAGAAAGATAGATAGATACGGAGGAGGAAAACAGACAATGGAAAAGGCACAAAGATCAGTGTCGAGCTCCGCTGTTCTTCCAGCTTGGCACACTTAATGCGAAGGCGCCTTATTTGTTCTTTCCCGAGCAGCTATTATTTGCCGTGCCATGGCAGGCATGCTGTAGCGAACGCTGCATGGCATTTGTTCGCAGCGCTTTGTGTAAGTACAAAAAAAAATTGTCCAACTCCACGTACCTTTGCCATCGTGGGGTCACCGCTGCCAATGTCCGGTTATTCTTAACACTCAGGAGTTTATATTGCGCTTGTGTATTCTCGGCGTTCCTAGGTGACATAATAAATGTAAATCACCTGTGGCATATACCGGCATACCTGTGGCACATACCCGCCCGCAGTTATATATGTGCCAAACGCCTGGTGAAAAGGGTTTGACGGCATACGCAACGGCGTTGCGACATTATTCATGTTATGACTAGAAAGTGATACTTGTTTAAGCAGCTTACTCACCCATACAAAATTTGAATCGTGCTAAGTTGAGGCACTGCTTACGAGACTACCCAGGCGTATGCGGCTCGATGCAGATACACATATAGACGCTAAATGCACTTTCGATTAACAAATAGATTTTCTCATTTAAAAGAGAAATGAGATACATGCAGATGAGGAAAGAACGAAAAAATGTATAAAGTAACTGCTTGCTTTCTCGTATATGTACCAGCTTCTTAAAGATATATATATATATATATATATATATATATATATATATATATATATATATATATATATATATATAAATCATCGTTCACGACCAAATACCCTTCTTTATTTGCCGACCCAGATTCTCACAACCCAGGCCTAAGAGGTGTTTATATACACATTAGAAATAAAAGCTCATGAATGGTGCTCACACTCATCCCCCCATCTCCACCCCCCACCCCAACTCTTGCAAGCGGCCAGCCCGGCTGCATCTTACACGGACGTGGGGCATCGAATAAATGGTTTGAGAGGCGAAACATGAACAATTCCCGGCGCACGACAACGATGATTTGAAGAAAGCTCGGCGGGAAAGACGCGATAGTTCACTGATGGCAGTTATTAACTACCTAAATAGAGCCAAATATACCGGAACTCTAATTTACCGCATAATCCTGGAGTACGAGTATGTGTCCAAAGTGGGACTTCATCTCCAGGACGGAAGTAAACATCGCGATGAGAGCTGTCGTAGCGCTGTTTGCGATTTTGCTGAATGGCTTCTGTGTTGAGGCATGCACATTTCCGACATTCTTCAACACTTGAGATGGACTTCCTGGATATGTTCGACGAGGCGCTACTTGGAACATTAAAAAAGACGTCGATGGTGAATGCTGGTGCACGGACCGTACATCAAGTGTAAGGGCGAGTAACCAGTGCTTCGTAGAACAGCGTTGTTGTGGGCAAACATCACAAAATATACTGTGTCCCAGTTGTCATGGTGTGGTTTGATATACATCGATTACTTGTCGATCATTGGGCGATAAAATCGTTCTCTCAACACTTTAGTTTGAGGGTGGTAGGCTGACGTTGTTTTGTGCACTGTGCTACAAGTCTCCTGAAGGTCTTGAATAACTGTAGACGTAGAGGTTTTGCCGCCATCACTCAAGAGGACGCGAGGTGCCCTGTGCTGTACCACAATGGCGTTGAGAAGAAAATCAATGACATCTGAGGCTGAAGTAGTACGTAGGGGAGCAGTCTTTGCGTACCGTGTGAAGTGAGCGACTGCTGTCACATACCCATCAATGAGCTCTTGGCGTGATGGAAAAATGCCTTACTAAATTTTTCTCAACAATGGCAAAAGTTGTCTCGGGACACGGAATTGGCTGCAGTAGACCAGCTGCACTTCAAGTTGGTCGCTTCCACCGTTGACACAAAGGGCTAGTCGTAACGTACTGCGCTACAAAGATGGAGAGGACAGGCAATTAGAAACGTTGCTTGAGGCAGTTTTGTAATATCCCAAGTGACTTGCACATGGGTCTTCATGAAAGGCTTCGAAACCTGGTGACGTAGAAAACGTGGAAGAAGTGAAACCCAGAGAAGTTTATCATTGGTGTAAACGTAACGTTGCAGGACATTGTTGTCTATCTTAAATAGCCATAGTTGCCGACGTGATCTGCCGCTAAGGAGAAGGCGACCTGCCACTCACGCGGTCGATAATGCGGTTGCAGTTCGTATCAACACGCTGATGCGAGGCGAACTGAGTGTAGTTATACGAAGGCAGCATGCCAGCAACCACTAGTTGAGATTACATATGGGTGAACACAGCGTCCAGATCACGTGACAAACAGTGACCAAATGGGCTCGACAGTGATAGTGACAGGGGGCAGCGGGAGAAAGCCTCTACATCTTATGTTTCTTTCCAGACTGGTAAAAACGACGTCAAAATTGTATTCTTGCAGACGGAGTACCCAACGACCCCGACGACCAGACAAGTTATTCAGTGATAATAGCAAGCATATTGCGTGCTGATCTGTTGTTACTGTGAAGCGGTGCCCGTAAAGATATGGCCGAAAAGTTTGAATCGCAGAAACGACAGCAAGAAAGTCTTGCTGTTATGAAGCAGTTCTGCTAGGCAGCCGTTGAGCCCATCTAACATAGGCAACTACTCCCTCTCGTGAAGTGTCATCCCGTTGTAGAACTGCACCAATCCCATCGCCTTTAGTGTCGGTATGTAAAGAAGTGTGTGCGTTCTCATCAAAATGGGAGAGGACGAGGCTGAACGTTAGGGCATGCTTGAGAGCTTGAAAGGCACGTTCGAAGTTTTCTGTCCACGTAAAAAAAGGTCAGGATGTCGGAACTTTGTGCAGCGGCGAGGGGATGGTAACAAAGTGGCTGTAACAGCGGCAAAAGCACGACGCCTGGCCTAGCCAACTGTGTAGGTGTTTTTGAGCTTCTGGGCGAGGGAAGCTTATTACAGCAGCCATCTTTTCACAATGTGGCCTAATGCCGTCCTTGCTGACAAGATGTCACAACACCTTTGTGTTCGTGCTGGCGAAACGACATTTCTTCGTGTTTAGTTGATCTCCAGCGTTAGAAAAACACGACAAAACTTTGCCCAACCGCTAAAGGTGCTGACTAAATGTGGTGAAAGTTATGACGATGTCATCTAGATAACAGAGAGATGTTTTTTCATTTGAGGCTGCAAAGACACGTATCTATCATGCATTAAAACGTGGTAGGGGCGTTACATATGTCGGCACGCAATACATTGAATTCATAGAGGTCATCTGGTGCTGCAGATGCTGTTTTATTCTTGTACGCCTCATGCATGAGTATTTACAAGTACTACAATCGAAGGTCAAGGCTGGAGAAGAATTCATTGCCCTGGAGAGGGTCGAGTGCGTCATCGATACGTTGCATCGGGTACGCGTCCTTACACTTGCTCCTAATAAGTTGCCTGATGATCAGCGCAGAATTACACCGAACCATGCTTTTTGCGGACCAACGCGACAGGTGAAGCATATCGGCGACGTTGTCTGCAATGATCTTTCGTTCAGGGGAAGAGACACGATATGGGGCGGCGGCTTGCAATTAAATTGCCTTGGGTTTTGTTCGCAATGCAGTGTGACGTGTGTACGGCCACGGAGATAGGAATGAACATCAAAGGAAGCGCTGTGCTTTTGAAGTAGAGCTAAAAGTGCTTCGTTTGCGCTGCCGCGAGATCGGGGTTCACTGCTGCCGTTAAGGCAGTCGTCCTAGCTTGGTACGAGTAGCTGAAAATGGTAGTTTCACCTGGAAGGGCATGAAAAGAGGTGGTTTTGTGTCGGTAAAGCAAGTCACAGTGGTGCCCTGGGGCAGTGAAACAGCAGAAGTAGTGAGGTTAACTGCTGCGACCAAGGCTCTACGATAATGAAACCGCACCAGGCTAGGAGCAGTGGTATGGCTTCCAGATATGTAACGTCCGGACGGTGCAAGAAACGCATCCCTATTATTCATGGTATCGGATATCAGCTTCAGGATATGCTCACAACCTGGAGAAATCAGCAACCCCGACCATGCAAAGGCTTTGTGCATAAATATCCCTAGTTCAAAAACAGCGTGATGCCAGTACGTTTTTTGGTACTGGTACACGCTGGAGACTCTAGTACACGCTTGTAATCAATGGCCCTTCGCTGGGCGCACTGGGAAAAAGCTGTGTCGCACTGGTAGGGGCGCTGGCTCAACCG